TTAACCCATGTATCCAGCTTCTTTCCCTTGCCAATTACTTCAAATGCTCCAATATTGTTGGAAAAGTAACATCAAACCTTGCTGCTAATTCATGCATTGGTTGAGATGGATTTGCTTCCACTATAGCTTTCAGCTCATCATTATCTATCCACCTTGATCTCAGGTCACCCATGAGGCTCATTTTCAAGATTGAAATCACCAGAATGGAACTTCTCAACCATCAACGTACTGTGCATTCCTTAGCCACATCCTTCCCAAACACTTCATTGATATTTTGAGCTGTCTGTGCTGCATTGGTTCCACGATGGAACTCATATTTGAAAATAACATGAAGTTTTGACTTATCCATGGTTTCACAAAAATTGCTCTAAAACAAAATTTGAAAGATAATCACAAGCCAAAATTAGTGTTTGAAAGACTGAGGAAGTACCTTCACAACAAAAATAAAACAAGAAGTGTCAAAGTGAAACATCAGAGATACAAACTGTCAAACTCAGTACTGAAGGCAATCGGACATTTCATACTTAATAATCTAATAGACTTGTTCCATTCAATGACATTATTATTTCATTTCCATGAAGAGACAAAGTAGACCATTTTGAATGGGCTTAGGAACCTCGCTCTCTTACCTTTTAGTAAGTAAATAAGAAAGTATCAATATATTCCAAGTTCTAAACTAATTAATAATGAGATTTCTGTAGGCTCTAAGACTTAGAAGACCTGGGTTTGAACTGGCGTCCATCATTTACTAGCTGGGCAAATTTTCAAACCCCTCTGAGCTTCAGTTTATCTCTAAAGCAAGGATAACATTTAAGAAATGACTGAAACATATTAATAAAATACACTTAATAAGTCTTAGTTCTCTTTTCTTTCAATTAAATTCTTTATAATGATGTCTCTAGGTTTGTTAAACATTTTTTTCCCTTAAGTCAATTTTTGTTTTCTTATAGTGGACTTTCCACCATGCTTCCTTTCTAATGGGCACTGTCTGATATTGAGTATTTAAATTATTTCAATCTGATTTATAACTAAGGTGTTCTAACTTAAAACATGTTTTGAGAAGTTTCAATTTATTTTTCCAAGCCACATTAATTATAAATAGAGGAAAATCTTCAAGTATGTGTACACCATATTGGTCATATTTTTATATTAATGAAAATGCAAGTCACTTGTGCATTCTGGTGAGAGGCCAGGTTTTCCCACTTCCCTTCTATCATGGAGACTGGGGACAACGGAAGTGGTGGAGGCTATGGCCTACTTTTCTTCCCTAAGGAGTGTAGTGGCGGCTACCCTTGTCCCCTGTATCCCTCCATCCTTCACTTGCAACTGAACTCTCATCTCTTAGTTAGGCATGTGGCTGCCCATTATAAAGAGGTTTCCCAGCCTCCCTGCAGCTAGAAGTGGCCATGTGACTAAGGTCTGGTCAAAGATGTGAGTGTAAGTGATGTGCACCTTCACTGCTCTTACTTTCCTTTTGGATAGGATGCACATAAGTAGAATTATCATATTACTTTAGACTTTTTATATGAGAAAGAAAGAACTACTACTTCATTTAAGCCATTATTTTGGGCAGCAGCCAGCCTTATGTTGTAATGCATATAGGGAGACAGTGGATGTGGTCTGAAGCACTAAGATTAAAGGGATTTTCTGATAGGGGTGAAAAAGAAAGTATTAATAAAAGGAGAAGAAATGTTCAGCTCAGCTCAAGGAAATCTGCACCACTTCTTCAATCCCTCTATATATACAACTTGGAACTATGAATGGAGAGACACAATTATATAGTCAGACATGAATTTTACTGAGAATATACTAATAGTATAATGGCCCCAAAGTATAGAAATAGATGTGTTTTATAAGTATATAATTCATTGATTTCTTATGCAGATTAGATAAGAGATATGCCTACAATCCTTAAAGAAATAACATGTTAAAAGATCCTTATGGTATATGCAGAAGGAGTAAGTGTGGTACCAATTTTTGAAGTAATATGTCTATCACATTTCAGGTGGACATTTAGTTAAGGACCTTTGTAGAAAACTGCTTAAAAGTCAAAAGGGTTCTATAGTGTGTGATAAAGGAACATTACTATTTATTCTGCAACCATAAAAGAAGTTGCACCCATTTTCAGATTTCTTCAGCTTCTAATTTGAATTTAGTAAATGAGTTAATCAAACATTAATGTAGTCATTCCTGTAATAACTAAAGAGGTATCCACAAATAGAAACAAGCAATAAGTCTGAAAAGTAATTGCATTTTGTAAATTGTTTTTGCTTTTCAGACGATAAATATCTAGCATTTACTCAGTAATTTCTGGAGCTTTCAAAGCAATGATCCTCCTGCTATGTGGAATCTGTAAGATATTACTGACCATTAAATTACAGGATAAGGAATGCATTTCATGACTTGAAAATTTAAAAGCACTATAAAACTCAGATAAATAACCATTCATTTCTCAAAAAAGCTTCACTGCAAAGTGGCCTTCTGTATTTTGGAAGATCCAAGTTACGCATAACACAGAAGACACTGACTCCAAGTCTGCCTAAAATAAATGATATGGAGGACAGGTCATTTATTAATAAATAGAAGCTTGGTTCTGGTGAGAGTGCATGGCAAGGGCTGTGAGAAACTCTTAGGGCAGTGGCTGGTCATGGATGGAAAAGGAGCATAGGGCCTGGTGGGAAACATTACATGATATGCTGACAACATAATCATATTTATTTCTATGTGCACCACTATAGCTGGAAGGACCACTGGTAGCATCTATATGAGATACTGTATCGAATACTTTTATTATTAAGACTGTTTTCCCTGCTACTGAAAATATTGTTTTGCATGTTGTGGTGTAATAATCAACCTAGTCTTTCCTAGGATTTGGAGCAAGCAGAAAGCAGCTGTAATCTACAAAAGCCCAAAAAATTCAGAAAACGTAAAATTCCTTGCAAAGGAATTAAAACTATTTAAATGTGGGCGGGGCAAGGCTCAAAAAGTAGAGTATATACTATAGGATTTCATTTATGTAAAATTCTACAAAATGCAAACTATATTGTTAGAAAGCAGATCAGTTGTTGTCTAAGGCTTGGGGTGGAGGGAGGGCACAAATGAAAAGGGACAGGAGGACACTTTTGGGGGTAGTAGACATGTTCAGTATATTGATTGCTGGGGTGGTTTTCATAAGTGTCAAAACTCAGTTAAGAAGCACACTTTAAATGGATGTACTTTATTGTGTATAAATTATACCCTAATTGTAAAATAATAAAACAAAACAAAAAACAGAAATAAAAATATTTAAAAAAAGGAAAAACTCAGGTTAAGTTTCACTTTCCTGTGGAGTAGCGAAGTCACCTTTCCAGACCAAGCCTCAGAATGCTATTATTTGTGTTTTCATTTTTGGCCCATGTCTTTTAGGTGAAGGTGGTGGAAGAAGGTACCCCATCTGCCAAATAAGGGAACGTGAATGCTAAAGCACCTGAGAATTTGGTAAGCATTTAAAATAATAGTAGCTCAAATAGTTTAGAGCATAGACTTGAGTTTAAAAGACACATGGAGGTCTCAATGTTGGCTTTGCTGCTAACTATTAGCTGGTTACAAAGCCTCTGTGCCTGCAGGTTGGAAGTTACCTCATGTTCCTCTCCTTTGTTTGTCACTCAATTTAAAATTTTTCTTATGCTCTTCTCCACATTATGGACTTATAGTGGTCATGGCATCCCCATGCATGAGATTCTGTCTAAAACAGATGACAATGGAAAAGTAGACGCAGGCACAAGTCTTAACCTTTAAGAGCCTCTTGTCCCATCTGTCAAATGGGAATACCATCTAATAACTGTGTGACTAAAATGTACATGTAACTTGGTATTATATTAATAATAGCTGCTCAGTTCATAACAGATTAACAGTAAACATTTGTTATCATTTCCTTCAAAATGAAGGGCAATGCTTAGTTAAATAAAAGATTAACGATATCTTTTAAGCCTGCGGTCCCTAGCCCCTGGGTCACAGACTGGTAGCAGTCTGTGGCCTGTTAAGAACCGGGCTGCACAGCAGGAGGTGAGCAGCAGGCAAGCCAGTGAAGCTTCATCTGTATTTACAGCCGCTCCCCATTGCTTGCATCACTGCCTGAGGTCTGCTGCCTTGTCAGATCAGTGGCAGCATTAGATTCTGCATTATGGTAAGTTGCATGATTATTTCATTATATGTTACAATGTAATAATAATAAAGTGGACAATAAATGTAACTCACTTGAATCATCCTGAAACCATCCACACCCCCTACCCCACCCTGGTCTGTGGAAAAATTGCTTTCCTGGTGCCAAAAAGGTTAGGGACTACTGTTCTAAGCCATTTCCTCTTCATTATGTCTCATTAAAATAAAATCTGTCAGGTTCTTCTGAAAAATGCTATGAGAGTTTCCAATAAAACATCTAACAGAGTTAACTGAATATTTCTCGACTTGTATACCTTTTTTCAAACTACTTAGCTTACTATCATTTCTATGAGACTATCAGTATATATCATCATCACCTTTATATTGCTCAGTAAACATTTTGTTGAACTAAAAGAGCATTAGTTAAAGAAATGAGCAAATGAATGGATGGATTTACTAAAATGAAGGTAGGGCTTGTAACAATGTATATATACGTACAGGCTGGGTGACTAGAGTCAATAAATGAATGAAATACTTAATGTAACTCAGAAATACTGTAAGAAATCTGTTTTCTAATGAGAAGAATGACTTAATGATATATGCCGTGTTGTGTTGCGTACAAATTAGGACTCATAACATTGTGAAGAGCACCCATTTAACCCCAAATTTCAAACTGGAGGAGATGATGTGTTAACTGGCCAGTCACTCAGCCTCTCAAAAATCATGATTAAGGTACAGCAGTGCTGACTATTGTAAGAATACTGACATTTCAGTTTTTATTAGTTTCCGTGTAAAGTAAACACAGAACACCTCATAGCTCATTTGCTGATGTAAGTCATTCCACCACTTTTACACACCAGTTTAGAATAACAATCTGAATTTTATTAAAAACAAAAATAAATCTAAAAAGCTTCCTTCAATTACACAGTATGCACAAGAATTTCCGCATTACATCAGTTTACATAAAATGTTCTGAATGACAGAAGTAGAACTTACTACCATTTGAAGAGAGGAGTTGAGCGCTGAAAACCACACACACTTATAGAAAGAAACAAAAGTTTCACAGGGAAGACCTGTGACCTCTAGCTATAGGCAAGAGCTGAAATTAGGAACATGAAAAAAACTTGAAGAAAAAAAAGACATTCAATACTCTAAAATACTTCAGCAAAAATAGTCAAACATTTGTAAACAACCTTTAACAAATCTTTTCAATATGCTGTGTTGCTACAAGGTAAAATACTCTTAATTGATTTTTAGTCAACTCAAAAAAGCAGTTTTTATTGCTGAGGAGTATTTCCCTCTAGACTAGATAAAAGCTTTGCTTTCTTTCCCTGGAATTAGGGCTTATCAGTGTTTGTCTGTACATTTCTTAGACTGGGGCATTTCAGCCACTTGCTCGTCTGTTCGCTATTCCCACTCAAAAAAATGAGGGTTAGAATTGTAAAACCAGATTTAATAAAAGCTTTGGCTCCAGTAAATATTTTTATTTGAAAGTTTGTTGGATGAGGACACTGATGAAACTGGCTGTGGATTTTAATTATCCCTGGTGTCCTTTTCTCCCGTCTCCAGAGATCATTAGGATTTAAAAGTATGAGATTGGCAACACAACTACTTCAAAACAGAGTAAGGCTGAACTGTACTCAATGTCCAGGACAACTACAGTACTGAAAATCCCATGGAACTTACTGTAAACAAACAAGCAACTGTTCAACAGCCTTTGCATTTAGTACCATGACTAAAAAATCTACTATTTTCTTCCATTTACCTATTTGGATATTTTTATGAAGTGACTGCATGTAACAATAATAAAATTTCCCTTTACGTGTGTTATGATACAGCAAAACATATCAATAACTAGAAATAAAATCTGAAACCTCTAATGCTAAATCCTAATGGAAACGTTAAGCTTTTGCACTCACGCTTGGACATCTTGTGCTCTGAGATAATTAGAAAAGCCTTTTAACAGTGACTAGGTCCCTTTTGGTGGAGTGAAAATGTACATACAAGCAGCGATGCTATGGATGAGTTATGCTTTTCCTTAGTCTATCGTTATTGTCTCTGTCAATTTTATTTTATTGTTACTATGTTGAGTCCAATATCAGTTTCAGTTAAGTAATCAAATTATTTGGGAATGATAACCTTCTTTTTATTTAAACTAAGTAATGGAAGACATTTAGTTCCCAGAAGCTTTATAATAATAGATTCTGAAGAAGCTAAAAGTGACACAGCTTAGTACAAACTGTCCTTTACCTTTATTCCTTGTATACACAAGGAATTCACTATAAAACTCAGTGGGAGGAGGAAAAAATAATGGAAGAAAAAATTACCTGCTTTAGCATTTTTAAGAATAGTTTGATAACTTCTTAGATCAACTTGCTTATCTGAAATAGAGCAAAACTACAATACAATCACGATAGAATTCTAATAATCACAGCAATTTTGCTTTCATTTAAAAATTTCTCTTCATAAAACATTAATGCTATAAAAATGAGATTGGTGACATCTTTATTTAAAAGACACCTTGCATTGGTATCAAAATGTGACTTATTTTAATGCCAACTGAAAAAATAGAGCTTGTATAGTCTATTATTTCAATGATGTTTTATTATTACTTTTAAGTTATTTTGAAGGTTGGTAGCAAAGTTATTGTTAACAATATAAATATTCTCTCTTTTTAAGCGTTGAAATTCTCTTAACAGTATTGAAAGGCAGGAGGTATTCCAGAATGGGCTTACAAGGAATATCAGTCGTTAAAATATCTAAGATAATGGGGATACTTGGATTTATATTTACTGTTTTAACTTCCTCACTAACTTCTACTGATTTGCCTGGTTTATTCTTCTTTTGGTATCAAAAACAGAAATCTAAACCCAAGCCTTTTAGTAATTATTTCCATTTTCCATTATTTCTTTTCAGTTTTTTCTAAATATAAAATAATCCAATAATCATTGCAGGAAGAAATGATCATTTAAACTGAATTATGTTCTTTTGCCTTTTAATTTCACTTAAGGGATATTAATAATAGATTCATAAAAGCTTTATAGCTTCAACACATACACACAATCACAGAACTAAAAATCTTTAGGCTAAAAAAAAGGGTTTAATTTTGTTCAATGTATCATAATCAAATTTTAGTCTAATGAAATCTGGTAAAATTGCTTTCATTAAATATATCAGCTACTACTTACCTTTAAATATTTTATAAATGAAATTAAGTTCAGTACTGATCCAAGGATGCTGGCATCAAAGCCCTCACTTTGAACTATTCCTAAAAGTTCTGTATTTCTATAATGTACCAGCAATTATTCTAGATTTATAATACCCTGTCTTAAACTTGGTATATACCATCTTTTGGAAAAAAAGTTACTAGTTTTTTGAGATGAGATACAAGAACGAAATCATTCTCGAGGTTCCACCTCTAATATGGAAAAAAGGATGATGTTTGCATATAGCAGCCAGTTTGATACCCTCTGTCCTGTTAGGCTAGCCTTCACACAATGCGCATGCATATACAGCCACAGTTCACCGCATCTGTTCTGATGATGAGAGCTGCTGCTTATTCAAGTCACAGATGCCACCATGTTATGAATGAGACAGTAAAATTGCATGTCCACCACGAGAAAAGAAAAACAAACAATGAAACAAACGCAGCAAATATAGGCAGATGGCATTCAGAACACGCCAAAAATCTAACACTCATGAATTGTCATTATAGGGGTTTTTCTTTCCTTAAAAAAAAAGTCTTTCTTTGCATATTTTAAAATTTAAAAGTCCCAGAGAATCATGAAGTGCCTTGTCGTTTTTGCTGCTGACTTCTGATGACCTCTAGTTGTTTTTTGCATTGCTGGTAGTAAGTTGAAAGGCTTTTGTTTTCATCTAAAAGCTTTTTATGTTCCTGTACCAGACGAGATGTATTTTGCTGGTCCTTTTCATCCTGGTCCAGTTCTGCAACTAGTTCTTGCCTAAAAATAAATACCACATAATAAAATATTACATGTGATAGAAAAATTGATACCTTACTTGCTGATGGTAGAAGCTTAATTAATGAGAACTTTTATTTTGGGTCTATCATTCTGCATCTTAGGCACCCTACTCAAATATAATTATGGGCCAGAATGGAAACTATCACCTACTCTTCTGGTGTAACCATATATGTATCATAACCTGTTTAATAAGTAACTGTAGTTGGATAATTAATGAAGCAGATAAAATGGTAAAATAAAAATTTCATAAGATTTCATTTAGTATCCCCTTTTTGTGTAGGAAGAAGAAAAAAGGCTGGGAAAGGCTCTGACTACAGGAAAATAACACAAAGTTTTTATCATTTCACATTCTACCTTTATACTTATATTCATATTCTGAAGTTGCAATCCTATAATACAAAGTGGTAGGTAATAGAACATTTGCAAGCTAATTAAAATAGATGCTACCCAACTTATTTCTTATTTCAAAACAGTCAGAACAAAGCAAAGTATCACTATTAAGCCACTTACATTTGCAAACATTTTCATGAAAGACTCTTAGAATCTTTTATAGTCTGATAAACTTCTTTAAGTCCTTTTTATTTGGAGAATATTAAGTAGAGCTAGGTTACTGGATATAAATGAATACTTAATAAAAAGTCCTCAAAAATAATTTCCTAATATATTAATATTTCTTACTTTATTTAAAATTGATTAAAACTGTCATAGTTTTCACAACCCACATTCTAATTCACCATTTGTTTTTTCCAGCATACAACTCTTCTTTCAAATGAATTTAAAGTATGACAAAAGTATAGGTTAAATATATGTTATAAGAACATAGAGTATTTTTTCAAAATAAAGTACCAGCAGTTCCACAATTACTTCTATTATTTCCAGACTATAGTATTTAATTTCCTATTTTGGCTTATCTTTAAGATACCAGGCTGATTTCATTTAAATCATTGTATCAGTAAATAGTGATAAAACTATTGTTTCTTTTCTTTGAAGCACAAACAGAAAACTTTTTACAAATTACTTCAGAAAATAAGAATTTCATTTAGATTAAAATATATACATGGAATTCTATTATATATACATAAAGTTACTGTGATTTCTTCCTGTAACACTGCATTTTAGTTATCACTCATAAATCAACTTCATAAGTATAAAATTTCATCATGCTAAAGAAAACTGAAGATATATACACATCTTTAAGAACTGTGTATTTAGTGGTATGGAAATTGGATTGGATTTCTTTAAAAAGGCAGGAAGGCTGTTTCTATAATTCTCAGAAAAACATGTATGGGTATCAAACTCCAGAAATATACTCATAGGTATGAAATAATGCCCTCTAATAAGTGATCCTACTTCCTAAACATATACCTGGAAAGAATATATCTACAGAAATGTTTCTAAGATAAAACAGCTAAACGTTAGTAAATCAAATTATTTTACCTATGTCTAAGGAAAAAATAAATCTTCATAACAATAAGTCTAAACAGCTTTTAAATTTAAAACTCTGAGAACATAAAACACATGGGTATATAGCACCAGTTTATTTTCCTTAGTACTATTATGACATAGTCAAAAGGATTGAGTTTTAAATGAAAAATAGTCAAAGGGTACTTAGAAGTTAAACATGAAAACAAAATCTCCAAATTGGAAATACACTTAATGACTAATTTTAAAAACCATAAAGTTTTCATGTTTTCAAATAATATTGCACCTCAACATATTTTAAACTCAAAATACTAATGTATCTTTATTTTTATTCATAAAAGGCAACTTACTTTCTCTGTAATAATAATGCAATTTCTGTTTGAACTTTCATATATTCTTGTGCCATTTTACAATGCTGTTCAAATACTGCCATAGATTCTTTGGAGTTCGGGCACGGTGCTAGAGGCTGAAAATAATCAGGAACGTTAAAACATAATTAAATCAAATTTCAATAGCTAGCTGAGAATTAAGACACAGACTGTGATGTAGAAGGTATCACAAAATGTGTTAGAAATAGCTTATAGGATACACACACACACACACATACACACACACACACACACACACACACACACACACACACACACACACACACACACACACACACATTTTTGAGACAGAGTCTCTGTTGCCCAGGCTAGAGTGCTGTGGTGGTCATCATAGCTCACTGCAACCTCCAGCTCCTGGGATCAAATGATCCTTCTGGCCCAACCTTTCAAGCAGCTGATGACAGGAGTGTGTGCGGCTAATTTTTAAAAAAATTTTTGTAGAGACAGGGTCTTGAACTCCTGGCTTCAAGTGATCCTCCAGCTTTGGCCTAACAAAGTAGAGTTTTATATTTCAATGTACTAAAGTTAAAGAGTAAAAAATGCTAAATGCTTGGCAGTCTTGAAGAAAGATATGGGGGATATTTCAAGATGACTGTCAGGATAAGAACATATTATTATGCCAATTTTAAATTTGATTAACTTCAGATGTAGCAATTAAAGTATATAAAAATGTAAAAAAAAATGAATAAATTTGATTAACTTCACTAAAAGAATTGTTTACTTTAATTTGATTTTTAAAAGTTTAAGGAGGCCAACTAAAAGCATGAATAAATGAATATAAAATGATGGATAGGAACATAATTGTCAGCTTCAAAGATAAATTCTCTAAGAAGAAAAAAGTAAACTTTCACTGAGAAAGTACTCCTTTACCTGTAGTTGGTGATCCAGTGTAAGATAAGCCATTGGGATGGAGTTATCTGACCCATTGGTATCTGGAATATAAGCATGTGCTTCATTTATTTTCTGTCATAAATAATTATACAAAAAGCAAGAAAGCATGCAAATGCTTTTTTACCCCTAAAGTATATGACATGTAAAATAAAAGTTACTGCTATTAGCAACGAATAGTTTATTTTTGAATTCTAAAGGTAAAAAGAGGACGTCCAATTTCCAGATAATTGGATACAATCACGTTCTTGTACCTACAATTAAAGGTGGGTATAAATTGAATAGAAAATAATATAGTAAAGCTTGTCTTTGTTTAACTAAAAGTAAAAACAGTGATATGGGACCTTTATATTTTGAGTCTCTTACTCTGCCCACTGAGCAGCCAGGAGAATCTGCAGGATCTTTACATTTTAAATTTAATCTTAACTGACTCTACCTAATCAAACCCACATCTCTTTCTTTTCTTTATGGTGCTAAGTTTATTTTACATAAACCTGTGTCAACTCTGTTAATGTCAGTGTTTAACAGGGAAAGGGAGAAAGCAAGAGACACTTTCTCTTCCAGTAGATCATTTTCAATTTATATAGATTCTAATGTGAAGCCTCCTCCATCTCGCCCCCCAATGAGAATCACTGCAGAAAATGAGAAATGTTATCAATGAGAGTATATTACAAATATGAATAGTATGGAAACAAAAAAGAGGTTTAGAACGTGGCTCAATGTCATGCCAAAAATAGTTAAATTGGTTAATTCTGACAACCAGTCAACTCTATCAAACTATTTGAACAGAAAGTGTTTGTTTATATTTCAAAAGAGGTAAAACTGTTATATGAATTGATTGAGATGCATGAGATGGTCTCTTCCCAACATGAACATTTATATAAAATAGTTCCAGAAGTAAGCAGAGTAACTATGACGTAATATAGACTTTTCTACTTTAGAAGTAGCTGCTTTCCCACTGTTGGTAGAGAAAAAATGAGCTAAATCAGTGAGCTGTTTAGCTCTTTTCTGGTAAGTAACTCCCTTGAAAAAGTGGCGTAAAGGGAAGGTCAGAATGACAGCAGAGGCTCTGCACTCAACTGAATAAAAAACTAAGACAGTTCCATAGTTCGGTGCCCTTTTAATTTATTGTTGACTGATATTCTAGGTTTTTAAAAAAGTCATTGAGAATGTGCTTGCAAGTAACTTCAAAAGTGAATTAGCTATATCAGGCCAAATAGATAACTCATATACTGACACATAACTAAGCACTTAGCACATGGTAGCAGTTGTTATCATAATCAGCATTACTGATACTAAATGGAGGATTAGGCAGAAAGGGCAATTTTAAATAGTCAAACATGTATTTAGATTAAAAAAGTAATGTTTATGAAATACTAGAGTGCAACAGAGAAAAAAAACCCAGTAGAGCCTTGAAGTACTTATCCTAAATCATCTACAGTACTAACACAAACATTTTTTTTTTGAAAAGGCTAAACAAGAAATATACTTAATTTGTTATTTCTTTGACCAAATCTCTCCCTACTGCCAATAGTAGTTTTTAAATTATGCTCCCACGAAAATATTACCTTCCACAAAATTCAAACTGATTAAAAATGATTTCCTTCTGACTTAACAGGAAAAATTAAGTATGCTTAAAAATGTTTTCTCAATTTAACATTTCCATTCTTATTAATCTTTCTTAAATTATTGATACCTTATATATCTCATTATATTAGCATCCTGTACGTCAAGAAGTGGGGTTTTACTTTCTCACTTGTACATTGAAATTGAGCTTCTTGTCTCTAATAGCAATAACTGGTCACAAGATAGAAAGGTTATTTAGTGAAAGTTTATTTTTTTAATGTTTCTATTGCTAATCAAATCGAATCCCTTTTCTCCTCAATGTCAAACTCACATTGGTATGGTTAAGTGAGGCGAATTCTCCTTTCTACGCATTCTCCCAAAACGCAACACTTGTTACCATCTCATATTTTCAGAGTATGCATTCCTTCAGGGGAATGCTGCCTTGTCCTTTCTGCTTTATGACTAAAGAACAAGTCTTTGTTTATGAAAAAGTCATGGACTATACCAGGCCTTATTTAATTGATTTCTCTCTTGACTAGTAAAATACTCAGCTTGTAACTGCAAACTTAGTAGTTATATAGTATGATGAGTTTATTTTTAATGTGTCAGTGTCATGAGTTTAATCAGATTGTAAAGAATAAGCCATGTCTTTTATGTGTATCTTTATAAAGTACTGAGCCCAGGACAAACTCTTTAATGAGTTTTAGTTGCCTCTCTGTGGCTCCGCTCCCTCTACTGGGTCTAGATCTCTTTCTCACTAGATCCTCTCTGTATCCATGTCTTTCTTTACACTCATTATACTATAAATAGAAACTGAAGAGCATTCATTATTTGCAATGATTATTAAATTATTATGCTCTTTAGTTTTCTCTCAAAATACACAGAAACTTATTTTAAATTTTAAAAATCTAGTTAATTAAGTTGTTTTAACTTATGTTTATGCTCAATTTTTTCTGGGACAGTGGGTCTTCTAAAAAACAGACTTTACCTATCTTCTTCCTATAATTTATTCCATTAGTTGTTTATCAATACTTTTCTTAGAAATACCTAAAAGCTGAATTAATTACAAAGTTAAACCAGAGTCTCAACTTTTAAAATGTATTCAAAATTATGTAAAAATGACAACCACATATTTGTAATATATTTCAAGGCAAAGACAAAATTCAGCTGATATTGCAACCTACTTCTAGCTATTGGTATTTTGTGGTATTTTTAGATATTGGAAAAGAAAATAATGAGACAGGAATTGGAAGGGTAGGAGCACACATGAAGCTGAAATACAGCAGTTATGTGAGAGATTCTTAAAAAATTTGCTACAAACACTGCTAATTGCAAGTATAGATTAGTTTAGGCTGAAGTTAGGAGGCTCTGCAAACCGAGTACCAGACCCCACAAATTCTAATGTCAGAGAGAGTACTCTTGTCAGAGGGTTCAGGAATCAAAATGAGTTGGTATCATCACCTGAATATTAATAATAAAATCTTCCAAGAGCGTTTCCCTCTCTACTCACTGGGGAAGAGCATGTCTATGATGAATTCTGCACATTTGCTGAGTGTGGTGAATACCCTGGACAATCCTAGGTTGAGCTATGCTAGGGGTGAAACTTAGACAAGTTTTTGTCACCACTAAATTTAAACTAACTAAAACCAGAGAGAATACGCCCCTGGCTAACCACTGTTTTATCTTACATGCCACATGGAGTAAAAACCACCCAGTTAATTTTTTAAATTAAATTATAAATTTGACTAAACACCCCAAATAACTAAATACTTGAGTTGTATTTTAGTTTGTAAATCAGAGGCTGACTTTTAAATTTTAATTTAATTGCCACTATTAATAACATTGATCTTACATAAAATCCCCAATGCTTTAATTTTCTAAGGTCTAAGAGATCATCTTTCCTTCTCTGACTTAATTAAATACAAATAAAAATTTTCATTTAAATATACTTCTGAGTATTTATCAAGGTATTCCGTTAATGTTAGGGAAAGTCAATTCCACTATAGCACATCATTTCTGGTCTGCCCATAATGAAACAACACCAAGACTACCTTCAGACAGGAAGGTCACTAATATTATGACCAATTATTCACGTTGGGGAGTTTAATAACTCTTAATTCACTTTTAAAGGTCTATTTAAAAGAATATTTATATAACTGAAATAAAGTCTCCTATCAGTTAAAAATGATTTAAAAGGTCAATAGTCAGAAATTTTCTTCTCCAAGGTATATGATATTTTATGTCCTTAAAACAAAAGATTGAGATGAAGATGATGATTTTTGCCATTCTGCTAATTTTGGTTATTTAAAAGATAATGATTTTATTACTACCCCAGTAGAATGGATTATAACAAAAAAACCTCAGACTTAAATATCAAGAATACAATATACTACTTCCTAATTGGAAAAAACCCAAAACAAACTTTTTTCAAAATACATGTTTAGCATCTGGGGGAAAAAAATACAGAGGGCAAGGCAGTCTTTTAGTACTCAAAAAAACATTTTAAAATTTATTGCTAAATAGTTGATTTTATTAATATGTAAATCTAAACTACTGTGTAATGCCCACCTTTGCAAAGATTGATACAACTAAATGAACATAAACACGATGAATTCAATTTTATAATTATAATGAAAAAGTAGACTGGTCACCTGTGGAATCATCAGGGGTCCATGGATGACTTCGAGTTGGCTTTTCTGATGTTGGTCCTGAGGTAGTGATCATTCTGACACTGGGACTGGATGATCTACTGCTCACCTGTAGGAGGAAGTGACAGGAGGAACAAAATGTGATCTTTGACTAAAAAAATGGCAGATGTGTGCCTGTAGTCCCAGCTACATGGGAGGCTGAGGCAGGAGGATGGCTTAAGCCTAGGTGTTTGAGGCTGCTGTGAGTTATGATGATGCCACTGTACTCTAGCCCGGGCAACAGAGTGAGACGCTGTCTCTTTCTCTCAAAAAACAAACAAACAATAAAACCAAACCCAGAACATTTCCATTAACAGGCAAAGGTCAGATTTCAATTTCTGTTAGCAGAAATCCCTAAGAAACTCTTGCAAAAAACAAAATAAACCTGCTTAGAATGTTCTACATATGTAAAAAGTTACATGCTCTCACATATGATACCTCTTAATAACTGATGAGCTTGCTAGAAAGTAAGAGAAATACTCTGAAACCAGAAACAAAGTAAGATCAGGAGATTAACGAGTGGTTGCACTGCTGTCTCTGGGGATTTCATGGCCTAGAGATTTTGTTTTGACAGCCTACTGCACTCACAAGAGCAGACCTTGGGCCTTGTAGGACAGGAGTAAGAAAAGTCAACTAGGAAAAGAGTCAACTAGGACAGGAGTAAGAAAGGTCAAGTAGGAAAAAAAAGTCTACCCTATACAAACAACAAATAAATTTGCCTGCCTTGTTAGTGGTTCTGGGTGAAGGAGAGAAAATTTATTCACTGTGAATCTATAAAAAGTTTGCAGAATTGATGGAAGATACAATAAATCTCAACCACAAGCATACAAAAAAAAAAAAAAAAAAGAGAAACCCATGTACTGACTTTAACATGGGGTATATACAGTCAGATTCTAGAAAACAGACAAATAGTAGAAACAGCAGCCAGAGAGAAAAGATAGATTACCTACTAAAGAATACCAGTTAGATTCTCAGGAGCAACAAAGGAAACCAGAATAAAGTAGAATAGTACCTTCAATGTACTGAAAGAAAATAAGTGCCAACTTAGAATCCTTTAGCCAACAGAAATGTGAATAATGAGGTAAAAATAATATTTCAGATGTGCAAAAACTGAGTTACCAGCCATAGATTCTTACCATAGAAATTTCTCAAGCATATTATTTTTTGGAAGAAGAATCATTTTTCCTTGATGGAACGGCCAAGATGCAATCAAGAATACTGGTAAACAAGGGAATAAATCTACACCAGAGGTTCTCAAACTTTTTAAACAGGAGGCCAGTTCACTGTCCCTCAGACTGTTGGAGGGCTGGATTATAGTTTTAAAAAAACTATAAACAAATTCCTATGCACACTGCACATATCTTATTTTGAAGTAAAAAAACAAACGGGCAAAAACACCAGCATGTGGCCCACGGGCCCGTAGTCTGAGGATGCCTGATTGACACACTGAAAATATCCAGTGATAAAAAAGTGACTAATTTACATTTGCTAAACAAATCAATACATAAGATGGTACTAAAATTCTCAACATTGATTTTAAAATCCTTGCATTGTCCAGGATGAGAGTATAGATGTTAATTAGGTTGGGCATGAATGTTAAAATTCAAAGGTATTTACTGAAAGTAGTAATATATAACTACCAAACCAGAAAAAAAGATAATGGAATGAGAAATACATTTATTCAATTCAAAAGAAGGCAAAAAAGAAGGAAAAAAGCAAGAGAAATCATAAAATAAGAGCAAGTAAACTATCAGTAACCATAATAAATGTTAACAATGTAATATTACAAATGTAAATGATATTAACAAAAATCAGATTATTAGGCTGAATTAATGGCTGTTTATAAGAGACATATCTAATTCAGAGACAGAGAAAACAGAAAGGTATAGGATAAAAAAAGATTACACAGTAAAAACTACCCAAAATAAAGTTCCTTTATTAATATCAGGGAGAATATATTTTAGGACCAAAAAAGAAATTACTAGAGAAAGAGATAAAATGATAAATGGTTCAATTCAGAATATGACAATCCTTTAAATTCAAAATTTATATGCTGTATATACAAGTAAATAAAGCAAAAAAACTGCAAGGAAAAGGGACACATCACTATCAAACTGAGATATTTTAATACTCCTTGGTAAAAGACATATAAAAGCAGATCAAAACCAAAACCAAACACATACACAATAACACCTGAACTCCATAAAAACCAAGCTTGATCTAAACATATATATATATATCCCCATACCTAGCAAATGAAGAACATGCATGCTTTTCAAGCACCCATGGAAAATTTATGAACACTGATCATGTACTAAGCCATAAAGCAAATCTCAAAAGAGTTTAAAAAATACCAGTATCATATAAACCCTAATGTAATTATTTTTTTGTATTGATTTCAAAATTAACTTTAAAAATCCTATGTTTGAAATTTTAAAAACTTCTAAATAACTCACTGATCAAAGAAAAAATAAAGGGAAATTAGAAAATACCTTTGGTATATAAGAAGAGTAAAATCATACACCAAAGAGAACCAGTGATGAAATACGTAACTCTTACTTTTAGGATATTGTCACCCTTAGTAAAACAAGTCTAGATATTATAAAATTATTCCTGAATCCTTCTCACCTACTTTGACTGAAAGCAAGCTTTGATGATTTAAGAAGAACATACTGATTTGCCCATAGTTATAATTACTATTATAAATCAAAAGCAATTTCTCTTCAAAGTGGTGGCAGACTAGGGTTTCAGAGTCAGTGGAATGCTAATATTTATGCTAACATTTTGACATTTTAAAAGGGAACATGTTTGTGACATGTGAGAATCAGTATCAGCTGAAAAAATTAAAAAAGATACAGTACAAGAATTAGGTTTCCAAAATAAGAATGGATTTAGTATATTAAAAGGCTACCATGCATTTACAATATTAAAATAAGTAAGTGTATTTGGATCTAATATGGCTTATATAGTACTCCTTAGATTTAAATCTTTCCCAAGAGAATTCTTTGCTACATATTTCTTTTTACCTTCTACTTTCCAAGAAATGTTTAGCACTTCATGTGCATGCTTGTTTGTTCCACTTACAATTTCCTATAGCTATGTAACTAAGAAATGAGGCTAATACTTTTATTTCAAGTTTCCAAACTGGTCCTTCTTTAAAACTATAATGAATTAGATTTAAATCTATACATTAAATAAACCTTTATATTTCAAAGAATATGTATCTCAATGAATAACATCATATGCTAACATGCATAAAGAAATATTTAAAATAAGCCATAATTTCTGAATATACAAGGCATAAAGAAGAGGAACAAGTAACATTTGACAACTAAAAAAAAAAAACTAGTTTGTAGCTAAATGTATGTTACTTATTGACACTAACTAAAAAAGAAGTCTTATTTTATAGTCGCCATTTTAAAAAAAACCACTGGTAAAATTCTGACGGCCATAAATGTTCTCAATCTATTAAAACTCATTTAGGTTGCTCCTACCTTCAAGACATTTACAATTACTTTATTCTATTCTTACATAAACTGCAATGTTTAAGAGATATTAGGTACACTTGACTTACTACAAGGATCGAATATGAAAATGGTTATGAGAGTACAGAAATGCCACATAGCAATTTAAGGCAGTAAAATAATACTAAGCCAAATTTAAACTGAAGGGGCAATTTACCATTAGTAGACATGAACTAGAATTGGCTTTTGACCAGAACTTTATCCCTATATTTATAAAAAGGAACTGGAAGTTATTCTACAGACAAAAATAAAGCTTAGCTTTTTATGTCTCACCTGAAAGACTGGGAAAATATTTTTGTAAGTCAAGAATTTATGCCCAGTGTTGCTATGTAGACTGACATTTAAAAGCTATTTAAAACCCTCAGAAATCTTAGTTGTTAAAATTATACATGCACAAAACAGAGAGATTAAATGCTGATTTATATGATATTCTTGCTGAAGTAAGATTTCAATAATACAAATATTTTAAAAAATGAGTACAAGTTGGTAATGTGGATTTACATGGGCACTTCCTCTACTATGATAGTCACAGATAATTCAATTAAATCAGTACATGACAGGATACAATGAAAACACTCTAATCCACAGGTATTGGCTCAATCTAATTCTGGCTTCATTACAGTTCTTCATAATGAAGTTTAAGATTTTATTACTCTTACATGGTCTTCTCCAATAGAAAGGTAGACTATGAATCAGGAATTATTTAAAACTATCATGTAAGTTTCTGGTTTATAGCTTTAAAAGAGTCTATTTACCCTAAATGAGGTGTAGAATGAAGACAGACAAAAGTGGTATAATAAATCATATCCTTTAAATACATAATAGTAATATATAATATCAATCAATATATCACAAAAGGTCTTTAAGGCAAATACTTTCTATGACCTTTGACATAAATTTTTTTTTAAATGATATAAAAAGAATAAGATGCTGGTGGTGCGATTTTCATTTTATTTCTGGGTAGTAATATACTATCATGAGAGGAAGGAAGTGGTACCAAGAACCCTGGGAAGCACACTATTGGGAGGCAGGCATCTAACATGGATTGGCATCTACTGTGTGTCTGGTAACTTTCATATTTGATAAGGACTCTGGGGGGGGGGTGTTATGGTTCCCATTTGCAGATAAGGTTACTGAAGCTCAGGGAAATTAAAGAACTCACCCAAAGTCACATATTTGACCAGTAAAAGTGGATTATAAAGTTTGGATAGAAATGTAGTACCTCTAGTTCTCTAAATAATCATAATTGTGTCATCTTGCAGTTGTTAATTTTCAATGACTGTAGCCCCTTCTAAGAGAATTCTTGAATATAGAACTATATTGGATACAATTCCAGAAGGGGTATGCAGGTGTACCTGAGAATGTATAATTTTTGTGAAACATAGAATGGCTCACCTAGATGTACAAAAAATAAATTTGTGTAGTCATCTGTAGAAATATAGCATCAAGATGGGTTAGCTTTGCTCAATGATATGATACAGCTACAAATTATCATCACTGAAAATTATTTAAATAATTAATGATGATGCAGACTATCAGAAGCCAAAACATTTAAAATTTAAGAGATCTAGGATTACATCATCATGCATTACATCTAGTTTTACAGGCAGGATAGAATGATAAGAGTGTAGAGTTTGTATGCTTTGGCATCAGATCTGGATTTAAAACCTGGTTATAACAATTACTGGCAGTGTAAGGAAGTAAGAGATTTAGGTAAATTTCTCTAATCCTCAGTTTACCCACCTGCAAATGAGGGGAAAAGGACCAACGTTATAGGGTTACTATGTAGATAATATATATACTAAGGGTTTGTCTGGCACAAAGTCAGTGAAAACAAATGGAGGCTGTTACTATTGTAGTTCTTTAATTGATCTGGGTAAAATCTGACCTTCCCAAATGAACTTCTTGTGGACTGGGCTTTATTGGCACTGTCAATGCCATTTAGCTGAAGACCACCAAGAAAACACGAATAGTGGAAAGAACTGCGTTTAATGCTCACTGTAGTGAAGGAGAATGCTCATCGTGGGGCACTGTAGGTATCTCATAAGAGAGTTTTAGAAAAAGAATGTATTACAGGTTTTAGACTTTGGTTGAGTGACTTTTGGGGAAGCTCTAAAGACGGAGGTGTTCATTCCAGATTGGCTGGTGTCAGAAAGCAAGGGCAATTCTATAGGGAAGGCAGAACAGAGTAAGGATAAAGCTGTAACTGGTAAGGAAGCAGCAGTCACTCTTATTAGCTAGGAGAGGGCAATGTTTGGTATTTTGTGGCTGGCACAGTAAACTTGTTTTTGTCTGTGCTTAGATGACAGTACAAAGTAGTCTTGTTTTGTGTCATTTTATCATAACCTGGTATGATAAATAACTGATATTGGTGCTCCGAGAGATTATTTATGTCCAATAGGACAATTACATGGTCTAGCTGTGATAGCCAGGCCAACTTTTAACAACAGTGAGGCCTCAGTGTCAGATCAATTCTTGGATGTCCAGGGCTACTTTTTCCTTTCTCAATATCTTTTCAAAGCCTCTAGAAGGCCATATCTATTATGAGTGCTTAATAAGCTTCCTGAATTAATTAAAACCCATGTTTAAAAGTGAGTTGCATGTTGTAATAATGCAATCTTTTACACATATCATTATTTTTAATTAAGAAGCTTGCTTCATTCACTGTTCCTCTCAAATAAAAATGGCAGTATAAAAACAACCAGTTTAATTCTAGTTTACAGATGGAAAGTCTAAGTGATTTTACTAAGTTATATCTCGAGTCAAGAGCCAGAGTACAAAGTCCAGTCAATTCACTTTCCTGTACAAGATGTAATGTTATTAAATTTTATCAGTATGTTTTTTCTCTCCCTCTGATCATTGTACTGCATGGGCCAGATTTTTTTCTTAAGGCTTTCTATCAGTTTCCATGGCCAGAAAAAAAAAAAAAAATTAAATCTGAACATCTCTGACTAATCGCACTTAGCCAGACTTTAGAGAGAAGTATACTTTCAAATTTTGAAAATCCTTATTGTGAATACTTTTTTTTGTCAAATGAATATTATCTTCGTAATTAAAAACATTTAATGGCCACTTATCATACACTTTTCAGGAGAAAATGTATTCAGACTACCTTAGGATTACTATTTGCTACTCTTATCCCAAAATGGACATTAGGCATTTTAAGGTTATAGTACTTAAGTAATTTGGAAAGTGTGGATTAATTTTAAATTTGGTTATACAATAGTTACATATCACCTGTTTAAGAACAGGTTCTACTGCCATATCTAACTCTCCCTCACTCTAAATCTTCTGGAGTAGCCTATGACAATTTATGCAAATGACTGTCCCACAACCAGATTCCACTTCAGTTCCAGCATTTTACTACCTAAAGGTATTTGAATTAAAAGGATAACAATCATAACCTCAAATAATACAGGCCCTGTGAGGAAATAAGTAAGGCTTGCTGTGGAGAGATAAGTTCTGAATTATGACAACATCTTTATTCTAGAGGCGATACTAGGAGCTGCTCCTCACAAGTCTAGGGCAAGCTTGTCATTCCTAGTCAAAGGGAGAACACTTGTCTAGAAGTTCTCATAATTGGAATGGCAATAGTAAACAGAGATTAAAAGGCTGGGCTCATCAAACCTCCAAGGAATTAAAGCAAATACCAGATGCCAAACTATCTGTTACTAAATGGGCTGATTAAAACTTTTAAGTATTTGAGGGGGAGAAAATAGGAAACTTGAGCCAAAAGTTCTGAGATCTCAAAAAAAGATATACTGAAAAAACTGCTATTAAATAAATGAAATCAAGATTTAGAGTCATTAATATCATAAAATATATAACAAATAAATGTGTCTATATATATTTTATGTATATATGTGTGTATAGACATTATGAGTTGTGAAATAAACATATTTTCAGATATAAATGAAGATCAAGGATTTTTATCATTTAAATATCTGTGGTGGTTTTTGTTAGTTAAGTTGATGGCTATAAATCTTTTAAATTTTCATTAATAACTACAAAGCCCCTCCAAAATTTAAAGTATGTTATAAAAATAAAATAATAATAAAACACCTTTCTAGGATGAAAAGTACTAATATATATTACCATAAATTAACCCTTTGCACTCGCTTGCTTTTTTCTCATTATATACTCGGCATTATCCACACTCGACATCTGAGTGCAAAGGGTTAAATCACACGGTCTATAATCTGTAGGGCTAAAATTTTATACAAATATGAACCATGATGTAATAATGTTATTACATCATGTATTCTTAGAATGTATTTCAGCAGCACTGAAAACAAATACCTTATAATTAGCTCTCATTCATTTAATAGAATATGAGATAAATTATGTATGTCAAGTGTAGTATTATGAATAACAGAGGAAAAAATGACGACTGAGCTACTTTTATATACCTGGTTGGTAAAAACTCTGCACTAGTCAGTAATGACTTAAATTATAGCACTCTTTGGATCACTTACAAACAAGCAGCAATAAAGAAACAATGGGAGTTTAGAGGAAGATCCATGAATATAAACATAAAGAATGAAAAAACAATTGGGATAGAAGCCTTTCTAGAGTGTATCCATTTGTTTAATAAATGTTATCTTAAGGACAATTCACAAAAAATATAAATCCAGTCGGTATGTCAAATTAAAAGATGTTATAGTTCTCCAGGTATGTCAATACCCTATATAATCCCAGAGGAGTGGCATCTTATTGGGGAAATATTTATTCCCCTCATTAATAAAAATGACATACACTAATGAATCACTTTAGAGGAGAATGATAATGATAAATTGTTAAAATTATGAAACTGAATACTTTCTTATTAAAACATATATAAAAACCATAATATATAGTGCTACTGAACAATTACTTTTCTATGGAGTTTGATCAAGCTACTTTCATAAATTGCCCTTCAAGTTAAATTAATAATGGCATTTATGCTTTTTTCCCCTAAGTATTTAAGTTCAAGTATCAACAAACTTCTCTATCATAATTTTAGGTCAAGTCATAAACCTAATTTTGCAGAGTATATTATAATTAATTCTTGATTTATGCATATTATTATCCTTGGAAGACAAACAATTTGAATGTTAAGTCTTACCTGACCAGGTTCTGTTCCAGTTACAGTCAGATCTTGGACGGACCTACGTCTTGGCTGTCCGTTGCCTTCAAACAAACAAACAAACAAACAAAAACAACAAACAAAAGGTAAAATACTGAAATCTACTCAAATAGACTCTAGGGGTGTAACTGCTACAGTAGGAAATTGGAATTTGTTGTTCCTTGAATCTACACAAAATGTGGAAAAAAGAATAAATGAGTTTATTGAAAAAAAAAGAGAAAGATGTACAGAAAGGAAGAGAAACAGCTGCAGTGCTTTAACTCAAAATTTGCTGGCCTACAACAGAGTATGTCCTAACACAGTAACCACTCCTACCACGTGAATAGCTGCTGAACTCTCTTCCACCATCTTCTGTCAAGTGTTTAAATAGATGAATGCCTGGGGGCTGGGGCTGATGATGGCATCTATTTCAAGGGCCTTACGTTACAGTTTTTATGGCAAGACAGCTAGCAGGTTGTAAGACACAACTGACTTTAACTGGCAGCAATACCTTGTTTGTTGCAGAGTCTAAAAGGATGCTTAGAATTAAATTTATTATACTGAGTCACACTTAATCCCATTAGACTTTGTCAGAATATAGTAATTTATTTAATATTATTTGTGAACAACAACTCTTAATTTCCTCCTGGAGATGAATGACTCTCATTTTGTTCTTAAATATACAGCTTGTTGAAATGGGCTATTGTGTTAACCCTACTTTAGGAATGTCTAAGCTAACAATAATTTAATAAAAAAATCACTTTATGAAAGATTTCTGCAAATATAATTCTTCAGCAAAACAGAATGAATTAAGCAATACCTTCACTCAGTACTTTTATTTGGTAATAGGACTGTTTATACACTATCTTCTAAATGAGAGATCAGCTGTGTAAAAGGAAACACCAAAATGCTATCAATAACAGGTAATACAATACTCAAAATTCTTTTGACTCTGAAAGCTATATTCTATAATTCCTCAATTAGTGAGCAACCTTTAGAACATGTACTCCAGATGTACTCTAATAGTTGTGGTCCAATAAGCAGACAAGATTCATTCATAAAACTTAAGATTTCCAAAATCCTGTGCAAAAAACCCCCAAAAAACCCCTTATTTTAAACTAATCAGCAATATAATTTAGCATCTAAACCCAGGTGACCCCATTATTATTTTGCATGAAAAAAGGACCTTACAATGGAGTAAGAATGTTTAATGCAATAATATGTGTAGTGAATATGTAAACTCAAATTTATAACTACCCTTGAAAGTATAAGACATCAAAACTTTATTTCATTTTAAGCTATGCTTTAGAATTCTTTGCATAATTTGAATTCAAATTTCATTTTATTTCTAAAAGTTTCAACATTCCATTTTAAATTAAAATAATAAACTGTGCATTTATTGAATCAGACATACTATATTACTTCTATGAATACTTGCAACTACCCCTGGTTCCATAGGAAAAAAAGGATCCCCACCACCATGACTAATAAGCAATTTTAGGCACATTTCATTCAACACACTCATTCTAAAATTAGTGGTGATGAGACAAGCTTGTAAAAGTGTCTGGAATTCTCTTTTCAGATTAGCAACACAGCAACATTTGTGAATCTGAGGAACCACCCAGCACATGTGTCTATAAAGCATTACATCACTATTGCAATAACAACAAAAACTCAACTCAAATTTAGGTGCGGAGGCAAGGGGATAGGAAGAAAGGGAAGCAAAAACTTTAAGGAAATAGGGTAAAGAAGAGCTGACAGTTAACAAATGCCATAAAATGACAAATCTTCAAGCTACCACATGAATCAAAGCAAGCAATATTAGGCAAGGCATTTGATTAGCACAACCATAACAGAAACCATCTGGCAAATAGTTCAGACAAAGCAAATAGGATTGCAATCAACAAATACTTGTTGCTCCAATATTAACTTTTAAGCCATAATTTAGAAATATGAATGTAAAACATACCAATCTCCTATTATTTTAAATGAAAATTACTGGGTGTGTTCTCAGCAAATTTGGGTTGATTCTGAATTTTTCTGCAATTGGACACAAATTTAGAAATTCACTCATTTTACATTTTTTTTTTTGCTTCTTTGATATGTGCATACCTACATTATACATGGTAGTGTAAATAAAAAAGTAGTAGAAATGAGGGCAACACAATGTAAACAGATGCCTCATCAAGGAATCTGAAACCTGCAAATGATGCCCTGAGTAATGAATTCTTGAACTTTCATGACTTATGATAGAGAACAAATCACATTTTTAAGGATGACTTCTAAGTAAAGAATACACAACACTGCCAGTGCATCCTAAATCCACCCCTCCCTAAATAGAAAGGGGGGAGGGGAGAGCAGTTTATAGGTCAATTTGGTTCTTTTTACAGTAATGTCATAAAGACAGAATCTACCTCTTCAAAAAAGCTGAGCTGATATTTAAAAGTTATCATAGAATTCTCCCAGAGACTGCTGGCTTAGGTCCCAGACAGTCACTCTTGTGGTTTTACTTATTGGTTTTAATTTAGTTCCATAGCTTTCCTTACCTTCACTACTATTATCTTTCTATTTCTCAAACTTCCTGAAGACTTTCTTCTTTTCATGTAAAAACCAACACTACATTTTCCTGGAGACATCTCTTAACCTAAATGTTAGAAAATTTGAGATTTGTAAGTTTTGCATATTAGAAATTACAGGATATTATTCTCTTCATATGTAAAATACACAAGATTTTAAAAAATTTGTACAGCTCGATGTACTGTAGAATTATATTACTGCTTCACAGTAAACTGAATATGTATTTTTTAAACATGTGTTTTCATTTTAGCTGCCACAAATTTCATATTCCTTTACTAATTCCAACAAATTCTGGCTCTTTCATTAAAAAGGCCCTTCAGTGAGGTTTTTTGTTTTCCTATTAAAGGAAAACAATTATTACTGATATTTTTGCTTTCTAATAAACCACTTTTATTAGGTTAGAGTTTGACATTTTAGATTACAAAAAGTGATCTCAGTAGACTACAACATAGTAGAGAGATTACCTAAAGCATTCATTGTAAGGTTACATTAACTTCTCTATTTAATTATCCAAAAATACAGAATTTTATTAAAAGTGAAGTGACTATACACAGAAATTGGTATAATGTTTAATTATAATTAATTATAATTAATAGTATAGCACCCCTTGGGCCCCAGCATCTCCAGTCAAAGGTTAACAACTGCTAATGACACTTATCTGTGTAAGGTAGGAAGATCTAGAAAAACTGCCAGATCTAGAAAAACTGAATTCTTTATCTCACTGTCTCTTCATATTGGTGCTGCACTTTTCAGGGTGAAATATTTAATAATTTGCATAATTCTAGTTAAACAAATGCTTAAAAACATTAATATCTAGTTCTTGAACCAAATATAGTATAAGAAACACGGTATTTTCATCCTAGTGGAGAAAGCAAAATAGTGTCCAGGTGTCCTTGAAAAGTATCTCTAATTCCAGTTATCTGGTGTTCTACAAAGTCAATCTGTTTGTCAAGCTCTGATATTTGGAACTTGTGAAGGAGGGCAACAACACATAAGTATTAGAAACCTAACTACACATCTATTTTTCTGTTAAATATGTTTGGATTTTTCCACATTCTACTCATTTCATTTTACTACTTATACTCTTGGCAAAAAACCAATATACAATATTGTATAAATGTCCTTGACTGAAATTAAAAGTGAATACTCATTAAATTTTTTTCAGTTGAAAGATCTAAATATAGCTGAAATCATAAGGACGCCTAAGGTTTCTTTTTAGCTTTAAGATGATATTACAAATAATAAATATCAATTAAATTCAGGCTCTTCAGGGAATTGGACAAAAATATTTAAAATATTTTAATAAGATTGATTCAAAAACATTTGCACATTCAATTTTCTTTATTATATCTTTAATAAGAGTATGTAAGATAGAAACTCCTCTTTGGTCAAGGCATTCTATCAATCTCAAATATTATGTTATATTATTTTAGGCTTAGAAAAAAACAAAAGGTATACTAAAGCAACATTATTCAAGGTTCTCAAATTGAAGTTCTTCAAGGCAATGCTTATCCATAGAATGGATGAGAAAATTTTCCAGTGCTTAAAATGAAATCTTGTATTATAATTTAGTCTAAACTAAGAAATAAATTCTGAGTTATCAATTATGATATTATAATAGCATTAACAAAACTGTTTAAATATAAATATTCTATAAAATTTTCCAGTTTAGCTAATTTTCTCAAGGTATATTTGTAATATATTATAATATCAGTATTTGGAAAATTTTACTTCTGCAAATCACATTTTGGAAATTCACTTCATTTGATAATAGCAATTAAGCTGGTATAAACTATGTATAACAAATTTTATATTAGAGTAGAAGTGCCAAGACCAATGTTTCAATTAAACCTTTTATAGCTGGTATGTATGTATGAACACATCAGTATTTTTTTCCAGTGGGTTTCAAAATGCATTATAATCACAGTTGATTTTCTTAGGTGCTATAACTATTCACACAAGGACTCCAGAGCAGGACTGCTGATCTTCCTTGATTACTGATGTCACTAACATGAATAAAATTTGCTTTCTTAACTACTTATGTTCTTGCTCTATGCTTAAAACTGGAAAAGGTTTTTGCTCCTTTTTTGTAATTTTTAGGCATCTTTTACCTGTTCATCTTTGACATTTGGATTTTTTTTAAAAAAAAGTAAAATATAGATATTTTCCTAACATCAAAAGAATTGTTATCAGAATGTATGATATACTTTCACAATCACAATCCCTATTTCATTTGTGTCTTTGAGATGAAGGTAGAAAAATAGATTCTTGGAAGCTTGGATAGTAACAAACATAAAATATGGAGGAAAGTAAAGAAAATCCAAGCAAAGATCTGTATTCTTATTGCCCTTATTAAAGTCCTGAAAGAAAAAATATTTAGAAAAACTTGAAAAATCCAATAATCTGCCACCCATTCTCTTTTCTGCAAATAGAAATACAACAAATTAAAAAGTACTGGTTGAAAAGGAGGATTATGCTTTTTAAAACTCAAGTTTTAATGGAAAATATTTAAGAAAGCCTATTTCCTTTTCTCAAAGCCTATTCCAATTTATCAGCTTATAATATTTAATAAGCAAATGTTATTAGAAAATTGCAGGTCAAATGATCTAAATCTTGGGTAGGAACCTTCCACATTTACATTTTCTTTGCTTAGGTAGCACAATGCTACTTGGCAGGATCTTCTCCATAAATGAAGAGTCAGCAAAATGTCATATGCACTCTACTGATAATTTGCTCTTAACTTGGGTCTTGCTTGGTAATAAGAAGGCAGATTGATCTATAGCTCACACTTGAAGAGCAGGCGGACAGTGGGAAGAAGAGAGGCTTATCCTACCAAAGTGTGCCAATACTTCTTCAGAGCTAGGAATGAGGTAGACGAGGTATAAAAAACTACATTCTGATTCAGAGAGAGTCCTGAAGGATTAAAGGTCAATTTCTGCATGACTAGAGAAACTATTAAATTGATGAACATTGCTGTTAGCCTTAAGTTGCTTTTTCTTCCATATCTGAATGATGGCATAATACATAACAGTTTGAAGAGCTGGCAAAAAATAAGATTAGATTAGGGTCTTTGTGTTTCTTTACCCATGATTAGGTTAGACATTTTTGTCATTATAAAGATGTACATGTGAAAACTTTTTGTGATGCTAGAAGGAATGCTCTTATTAAGAGAGACAGTTCATTCCAAGAAGTACATTAGACTCAGTATATACTGCACTTGGTCAAAGGGAAGTATTATTGAAACTACTTTCTGTACAGATTAAAAAAAGAAAACTGTATTTTAAAAAATGCTTACAACTGTGTTCCAATGCTAATTAATAAGAATTTGGATATATCAAGAAGTATTTGGCAATAACACAGAACTTGTGGGAAATCCACTTAGAGCAAAAAAATTCTAGAAGTTATTAAGAAATCAGGAAATTAAATATCATCTTCCTTTATATTTAAAATGTCATACTGGAAATTTGAATATTCACAAAGGGTGAGCTGTATTTTTATATTTAATTTTAAAATGTGACCTAGGAACACATTAATGTTTGGCTTTCATGTCCATCAGTTTCAATTCCATAACTTGCACTCTTGTATTAAAGAAAGTACAACAGTTTAAGTTAATGTTTGGATATCTAAAAAAAAAAAAAAAAAAAACTAACAAAAATATTTAATAAAGGTATTATTGAATACTTTCATTTGAATAGCATTGTTGCTCTGGCAATTAAGAGAATTTAGCTTTCCTGACTTTTAAGAACCCAATGTCATAAAAGAGGGTCTCCCTGGCTAAAGAGCTCTCCTTACTATGAACCCTAAGGAGGAGCAAGACAGAATTAGTCTATCTTCTCTGACTTAAAAGAGCAAAAAATGTGATTTAGAAGATCTGGCTGTGTAATTCTGGGAAAGCTACTTAACATCATCAGATCTAAGTTCTTCAATTGTAAAAAAATAGCTATAATTTTATCTGATAACCTCGTTACAAGGCTGTCATTAAGGTCGATTAAGATGATATAAGCTATTAAGCTACTTTGCAGGCCACAAAGGACATCTAAGCAGGGTTTCCCAGCATTGGTACTGTAGATATTTTGAGCTGGATAATTCTTTGTTGTGAGGGGCTGTCTGGTGCACTGTAGGATGCTTTCCTGGCCTCTGCTCATTGTATGCCAGTAGCACTTGTCAGCTGTAAACTATTATTCTTTCCCCTCCCCTTCTTCCCCCATTATCTTGTATAGTATTGGCTATATTGCCATATTTATGTTCTTATTGCTTGCCCATAAGTGCTGGACCAAGATTATACTGTCATTTGTCTAAATTTTCCTTATTCCCTGAAACATTTAAGGTAATCACAGCTCAGCACTATGTAAACTTAAACACTGCCACTTCTTTAGTCAAAGTATTATTGAAAAGTATACATAGTACCTTTCATCATGGAGGTAAAATGATCTCAAATACTTTGCTAATTTCTAAAACAGTCCAGACTCAATAAATAAAAATTACTACATAAGAATGAATTAACTCTATTTTTTGAATAGCAATAGTAACAATGTTATAAAATAAGAAACCCTTTTGATAACCAATGGAAAAATACTCTAATATAAAATAGTTTTGTATAGACAAAATGACACCTAAGAATTGTAAAATTTTTATTTTTGTATCCTAGTTCCTAGCCAATAGATGCTCAATAATGGTTTGCTCATAGATATTTATTAAATATCATGTTAATATGTTTAATATGAGAAGCAATGAGCCAGCTACTGCTGACACAATCAATGATAACACAACAACAGAATAATCAATAAAAACACGGTCTCTATCTTCACAGAATTTTCAGTTTAGGAGGGAAGAACCATTAAGTATTCAACTATAATATAAACACTATGCTAAAAGCACAATCACAGGCAAAGGACAGAGTGTTGAAGAATTCATCCAAATCACACTCATGAATGTATATGGAAAATATTATATATTTCCTTATTAAGATTTTGGTTAAAGAGGTAAAGGAAAACCTAAAGCAGAGGGATAAATAAATAATAATTTTGATAACACATATTAACCAATGTTGAAATGCAATATGTCATTTAAGTTTCTATTAAAATGGTGATTTATATTTAACTATAAATAAAATCAGTTTCTCAATTTGAGACACTAAAGTACCATGTGTAAGTTAGGTATAAAAGATGGAATTTATGAGATTTTCTTATATAATACATAAGAACCAGAATTGACCACTTATTTACATTATTCTTTGGCAAGATACCCTGCAAAACAGCAAATATCATTTAGTTTTATTTTGTTTTGGTTTTCTAGGTTAAGGCAAAATGGTATTTAGCAACTCTCTTCTCTCAACTTCATGCTTACTTGCTACCAACAGAAAGAGGCTGGGATAGAAAGCCTAGAAAGGGAGCCCAAAAAGTAGTTAACTGAGGAAGGAAAGGGGCCAAGGACAACAAAAAATTTAAAATAGTTGTTTCCTCTTTCTGCTGGGTGCAAAAATGGTCTGGGTTTAGCTCATGCTCACTTAAAAGATAAGATGAAGATGCTAAAATTCTGGGTTAGTGTTCTTTTTTGTGAAAAGGTTTACTCTGTCTTCCATTTTATCCTCATTATTAGAGATCTGAGGTATCTTTTCAAGTCCATTTCTGAATAAATGTATAGTTTTCACTCTGTCTCCCTAATTACTGCATGCAAGGTATCTATTTTCATGTCCTATAAAAATTGGAGCAAAAAGCATTCTCAAAGTACCAGGGATCATTATTCCGGTTCCACAGCTATTAGACCAATTCAAGTGGTCTATGATACCTGATATGACGATCTCAGGGACATCCAGAATGTTGCCAAATGAAGCGGTTTTACGGTGGCCCCGTTTAGGCTTGGGATAGGCTGCAAAAACACATATATACAGTATACATGCAAACAACCACAAATAGTAACACGGAAAACGATTAACTACAAAAATAGAAAAATATTCAAATAGTTATGTTAATAACATTTCATGCAGAATGGCATGCAGAACTATCTAACTTTTCATCCATGCTTAGAAAAGGCGTGATTAAAAAGCAAACAACTACCAAGATGTTTCACACACTGGTTTTAATTAGCAGGAAAAAAAAAAAAAAAAGAAAGGACAGAGACAAAGCTGCAAGGTAATGAGGAAGCTAAATTTCAGATGTGTTTATAGAAACAGTCTACCTAGGTGAAACCACTGATATGTGATGGGAGTGGGAGGGATGGAAAAGAGGAGTTAAAAAGAAATAAGCTGCCATATGTGTTTTAATTACACAAACACAGGAATAAATGTTCAAGTTAGGTGATTCCTGAAGTGTGCTATAAGTAAAATTCAATTATTAAATAATCATTATTGAATCAAAGTATGAAATGTATATGCTTTTGTAGTTATAAATGCCTATAAATATTTCTAGTAGACTGAATATTTACTATAGTTTCCAAAGTTTAGGGTACATTTCCACTAAACATGAAGGTCGTAGAAAGGCTGGGGAGTATGGATCTTCCTGTGTAAGATAATTCACTAAAAAATTTAATTTGCATAAAATTCAAAGGGTGTACAATAGCATTTGTTCTACATTTAGGCAGAAAGAATAGGATAATTTTAATGTGTGTGGTTATCTTTATTCTAGTGAAATACCATTTCTATAAAGAATAATTATAAACCAGTGCTTGACTAGAAAAATGATACTAGCAAAGACATAAAACTATTATTATAATACTATTTTCTGTTTTAGGGTAGCAATTAATACTTGGCAGATCTATCTTGAATATCCCTGAAATGAAAAAACCTCCCCAAAGTGTGAGGGTATATCCCTGTGAGCAGGGTTCATCTGACACTCCACTGAGACAACCATGCACCAAAGAAATACTTGTGACTCATGGAGACCAGAAGGGCTTATTAGTGGCTGGTGACTTCCACTCAACTTGATTGTTTCTGAAGATCCAACTGTGGCAGACTGCTAGTCCCCCACCAATCTCTATTCTTCCCTTTTGTCTTTGCAACAGACCCAATTTTATTTAGGACTGTAAAGTTCCCAGATAAAGGACTATAGATCCCTCCTTGCCATCTGACCATGTTACTCTGGCCAATGACATCTATGTGGAAACTGTTAGGAGGGACTTCTGGGAAAGCTCCTTCAAAGAATGTGGATGTCCTTTTGCCCTTTCCCTATTTCTTCCTTCCTGCTGCCTGGAATGTGGAAGTGATGACTAGAACCCTAACAGTCATTCTGGATCGTGAGGTAACCTTGAGGCTGGAAGCCATCCAATAGGGGCTGTGGCACATAGATAGGAGGAGACCAGTTGCCTAATGATCATGGAGCCTACCTCCAGACTTGTATATGTGTGAAAAATAAGGCTTATTTGTTATAGACACTGTTATTTTGGATATTCTGTTATATCTAACAGATTCTAATGCTAGCTGATAAAATCAGTGATCAGGATTAGTTGAAGACTAGTATGACGGTTCATCTTGACTTCTTTCTGAAAAGAGCTCCACACACAACGACAATACTCTATTTAGGAAAAAAACCCAAAAACAAATAAATGAAAAAAAAAAGACCTAAAAAATAAAACTTGGTTAGCTAAGTTAAAAATTGTATATGTGAATACACAAGGAAATATATTTTTATACACAAATATAGTTAAGAGACTAGAGGTAAATACACCAAAAATGTTAAGTGTTTATGTCTGAGTGGGGTAATTATATAAGTTTAATTTTTTAGGCTTGTTTACATTTCCACAATTGACACAACAGAAATGTGTTTACTTTTATAAGCAGCTCCCCTCCATCCCCGGGAAAAATCAGAAAAAAACCCTCCAAATTAAACTGGTATCACTAAAATGAAACCTGGTTAGACAAGAAGGTTGTCTATTTGCTTAGGACACAAAACATGTGATTGTTTTTGTGCTGACCAGTTCTTCCATGATTAATAATGACAATGATACGAACTGACAAAATGGAATTTAAATGCTAGCTTTTTCAAGATCCAACAAAATTATCATTTTTATTATACAATTAAAAGAATTACCCACAACCGGCTTAACTATTTTTGCCAGTACTGGAAGGAAGAAGGAGCCAACAGTAAGGCTAAATCATATTTGGCTCTAGTACATTTTTCTGCTGACTGCAATACAAAATATTTGTTATTATTTGAGTTCAGCACAAAAATCTAGTTGAATCATTCAAAATCTCCTAAAGCATTCTAGTTTTGGCAAAATTTCAGTTTCTCACTTAGACTTCCAGCTCATCTTTGAGCAGAAAGAAGGATATTTGATAAAATCTATAGTTAGGAAGGTATATTTTATAATGTGAATAATTTTACAAGTCATACCTTTCTTATTTGGAATTTGAGATAAATGTATAAACTATTGCTAGAAGCTTAGAAAAATCCATTGCAAATCTACTTCCTACTTTAAAAAAAATACATAAGACACAAACATTTCTGACATCCCCATGGAAACGACTGAAACTATCATGTCAAAATGATTTACATACATTTTCACTCTCTTCAGACCTGTGGTTCCTTTTTACCTGTGGTCGCAGCAATCCTAGCTTCTATTTCAGACATGTCAGCACTCATTCTCTTGCCCTCAGACGTTGGGGGTAAACTCTCCATGCTGCTCCCACGGGAAGCTCCCAAGCTTAAACGTCCAGATTCACTCTGTTAAAATTATAGATCAATCTGAATTACTGAAGTTCTTTTGATTTAGAAATCTTGGACAGCTTAGGAGGAAGACACGAAGTGGGATTCTTAAGGATCTTGTACTGCTCTGAAGAGGGAAAAGTTTTCAAGGAGAGGAAGCTATAGCAGTAAGGGAGAGTAAGCTGTAGGCACGACCTATCTGCATGAAAGGACCGTCATTACAGTTGGGAGTTAAATGTCTCAATTATTAACCTAAATGTCTAAAGTAAGATGAATAAAATCACTCCTTAAAATATTTTTAAACAAACAATGGCAAGAATATAATAAATCTGAACAACATGAAATGATAGATTTAGGACAACTCCTTTAACCGGGTAGTGTAGCTGAAATATACTCATTTTACATTTTTAACTATCAACCATTAAAGTTAGGAATTATCATTGGGAGGGAGTTACAGAGTTGGCAAAGGTAGCAATCAATGAAAGGGAAAACAATTTGGTAATAAATGGTAAGGAGAATCTCATAATCTCATTATATATCTCTCTTCTTAAGCTCACCTTTCTGCTTCAGGAAGAAGATTCAGGGTTCATATAATAGAAGATTGCACATAATTCAAATTTCAGCTAGTATAATGTTAGGACTACTGGTAAGGCTATCATACAATTTTATTTTTAATAACAACGAACCTGTTGCTTTGCCTGATTTTTCAATAATTTTGATTCCAAACGTTTAATAGTATCATTTGTGGCAGGAACTTGCTCCATATTAGTGTCACTTTTATTACTGGTATTTGTAGAAGCAATGTCCATGAATGAGCCTAGGAAAGAAGAAACATTTATGACTATAGGTGGGTAATAGTACAAATGCTTTATTCAATAACATGTAATTTAAATTCTTTTCTAAACTGGCAAGACATAAATAGAAATAAAATAAGAGTTTTCAAGCTAATGAAGATACCCCAAAAAACACCTATTTTAAATGAAACTTAAGGATAGCACAAAAGAGGAACCAAGAAGCCTAAATAGTCTTCTAATAGTCAAGAATAACTTATGATTTTTAGCCTGAGCGAGTAGAACTGAGGGTTATTAAAAAAGATGAGGAAGATTACAGGAGGAGTGAGTTTGAAGGAAGTATCAGGAACTCAATTTGGAAAATGTTGAGTTCCTAGTAGATATAAAGCAAGTAGTTGGATATATGAGTGAAGAGTTTAGGTATGGGATGGAGAAAAATACCAGCAAATAGATGGCATATAAAGCTGTCGATGGGGTTACTAAGGAAATGAGTGTAGATGGATAAGGGAAGAGGCCAAATGAAGAGGCCTTGGGCACTCTGACGTTTACAGGTTGGAGAGATGAGGAATAACTAGCAAAGAGCATACTTTTCTGGGAAGCAGAGAAAGGAAAAAGAGGAGGGACAGAAGGGAGAAGGGAGAAAGAAGAGGAAGAGAAGGAAGGGAGGGAGGGAAGGAAGGAAGGAATGAAGGGAGAGAGTGAGGAAAGGAGAGGAGGGAGGATATGAGGGAGGGGAGGGAGAAAGGAAGGAAGAATAGAAACTATCCAAAGTGAAACATAAGAGAGAAAAAGAGTACCCCCCCAAAAAAAGGGAAAAAAAGAAGAAAGAAAGAAGGAAAGGAAGAAGGAAAGGAAGGGAAGGAAGAAAAGTGAGAAAAAATGGCCAGAGAGCTAAGATGAAACCCAGGCTAGTAGAGTATCTTGGAGACCAATTGAAGAAAGTACTTTAAGAAGGAAAGTGCAATGAACTATGTCAAATGTTGCTAAGAATCAAAAATGAGAACTGAAAATCATTCCTTAGATTTAGTAATGTAGAGATAACTAATGACCTTGACAAGAGTAGTGGTATAATGTAAGTCTGAGTGGAGTCAGCACAAGAGAGAAGCTAGAGAATGCAAATACAGACTATATATGCTCTGGGAATGATCCCAGTAGAAAGGCTAAAATTCATGATATGAGAGAGGGGAGAATTTCTGGGAAGGGCAGATGGGATGTAATGGACAAGTAAAAAGGTTTGCTTTTGGCTTGAAGCATGGATAGTTCAGTCATGGTAACTGAAGAAAATGCAGACTAGATGGGCACAGGTGCGTGTAGGTGGGTGGATGTAGTGAGGGAAGTTGTGGAAGCTGCCTTCTTGATTACTCCAATTTACTCAAGAGAACAAGGTCAGCTGAGAATGAGGAGTGGAAAGGAGGCGTATGAAGTCCAAGGAGAGGCTAAAGTATAAAATTAAGACATCTAAGAGAGAGGAGATGAACTCAAATGTAGGACAACTGTCCAGCAGCACTAAATATGCATGTGAGGATAGCACACATGTGCTGTCTCCAGCCCCATTCAGCTGCACTGGTGCAGGCAAGGAGGAAGCTGAGTGTTGGACTGAATCAGGCTTGTGGTTTAGCCAAGCAAGTTTAGGATCGGGGTTAGAAAGCTGAAAATTATTCATATTTTTACTGAACATTTTCAGTAAAACCGGAATTTGAGAATAATTAGCCAAATAGTAAACTAGCTTACAATAAATAAAACTATTCTTGAGGTGGGAGAAATAGACCAATAAAAATATTTGTCAATAAAAATAAAATTTTAAGTTCAGGGTCAATATATGTGTATACGCACACACATACCTTTTAGTTTCTACAAACTACAAACTATATATCCCACTACTACTTCATATTTTAGAAAACTGGGAACTTTTAACTAAACACAGCTTCTTAAATAAGAGTCTCTGTAGAAGAGAACTAAATGATGAAGAAATATGTACATTTTCCATAATTTCTAATATGACTTGATCTAGCAGTAACCATGTAAAAATTATTTTTCAAATTATGAATGACATTCACAGCAATACAATATCCAATCTTTTTATGCATAACTGCAAAAATCCCAAGAGTTGGAAGCCAGTCTTCAATAACTCTTTAATCTGGGTGCTTCATGAAGAATGATGCACCTGGAAACCCAAATTGTAGTCAATCATATGAAATGAAGGAATTAAAATGCAAATGGAGACACCATTCATTGCTTCTTGATTATAATTTCATGGGAATAGATACAAAAAAAAAATCAAAAATCAAGTTATTACTCTTTCCATCCATTCACCTGTACTGGTGGCAGAGTTGCTCTGTCCTTCATCTGAATACTGACAAGGATACTGTAACGGCTCATCTGCTCCTGGAAAATACTATATATAAAAAAGTAAATCACAGCTTAAAATTTCTTTTATACAAATTAAACCCTGCTATGATTAACTGAAAGAGTATATCTGAATTATTTCCTTGTCATGGGATCCAACTATAGCAAAGATGATGCTTTATTTTCTCTAAAGTATATAATGAATTTGCAGTTGCTTAAGTTTTTGATTTTACAAAGATGATGATACTGGATTCTTCCTTGAATTTCAAGTGTGATCAATGCCATGTGCCTACTTAAGAATCTATTTTACATGGAGTCTAGATAGTCTTAAAGAAAACAACAAAGATTTCTCTAGAGGAACATATGAAATAGAAGAGTATCATTCCTCATAATTATTTAAAACACATTTAATTTATGTTCTTATAGCATTGATGTAAACTTTCAATTGTTGCGATGATTGTTAGTCTGACAACTGAGACTGGTATACTAAAGAATAATTGTTGGAACTAATATTTTAAATATCAAGAGGATAGATTATGGATGTCTTTCTATAAATTGGAGACATAATGTTAAAAGTATTCACTGGACCAAAAAATTAGAACTTAGGGGAAAAAAAGGAAATATATTCCCCTCAAATTAGACAAAGCAAGTATAAACATACTCACAATTCAAACAATTCATACATCACAAAATTTTAAGTTATCTGACTCGAGAGACTAGGTTGTTTTCTTATGTACATACCTTTAGGGACTAGAGTTCTATATAACATAGCTGATATTCAAATATGATGGTAAATTTTAATCAGATTAGGTCTGCCTGCTTTGCCTAAGTAATTTTCAACTGACTGAACACATTTAATCTTTCATCATTTAGGGCATCATTTTATTTGTATTTAAGTAGATTGCAAGATTCTTCTACTGAACAAACTGTTCTGAAATTCAGGCACTTTCTTAAGTACTTATACTTTTTAAAGCCAAGGTACCAATTGACAGTTTTTGTTAGTATACCAAAAACTAGAGGCCGAAAATATTTCAAATAATTCTAAAAGTGTTTAATTTATAGACTGAAACAATTTGGTAATCATTTTTAAAGAATTCTTCTAAATTAAAATAGTCTATAAATCCTAGAAGTTTAATTTTGTATTGGCATATGAAAACCTAAAAATATGCAACAAAAACTGAATAGTAAAAATCACTCAAATAAATAAATGTGTCTGAGAATGGAATCTCTCTCCTGTCTTATATAAATGACTGAATGCTTGATGAAGATTGCTATAAAAAGCACTAAAATTTAGTTTAGCATGTATTGGAGTCACAATATACATAAGTCCTGTGAAGGCTTTAGAGATAATTTAATTCAGTTTCCTCTTACATTACAGATGAGGCAACAGGCCCAGAAACAAACGTACTTGTTCACTAATGTAAGGAGAAAAGCAAGTCTAGAAACCTAGACTAGCCATCTTTCCATTATAAAGAACTAGATTTCTCCCTCAAAATAACATTTCCTCTTGTGATTATATGAGTAATGAAAGCTCATTCTAATTAAGAAAATACAGAAAAGTATAAAGCAGAATATAGTGATAATGTTTCTTTTACTTTGAAATCCCATTAAAACTCAGCATATATTAAATTCCCCTAAATCCAAAGCCCCTCAAAAGAAGGATTATACCCGCATCAAGTGAGTCATTATTTTCACAATTTCCTCCATTGAAGGGCGCTGAGAAGGATCTTTAGACCAACAACGAGTCATCAGGCTCTCAATGGGCTTAGGTAAATTTTTGATCAGTGGTGGTCGAGTACCTATAATTGAAAATTAGAGGAGGGAGGAAAGAATGTATTTACCCAAAGAATGGTGCAAGCTTTTTATATGTATTTCCAAAGCAGTATTTATTTTATAGATCCTGCAATTTATGATTTATAATTTAGAGTAATAAAAGTACGCTTTCTGTTCTTTAGGTTAACATTTATTCTACCTATGTATATTTTCATAAAGGAGAAACTACATCTTTAAAAAAATTAAATAAAAAGTTTTATAGTACATTCTAGTAAGGCTGAGAATTAACAATATTTGATTTGTTATAAACTCTTTTAACAAATAACAATGGCTTAATGTGTTAAGAAAAGTAAAATAGTAGCTTGAGAAAACTTTTCTCAGATTTTTCAGATTCAATTGCAAATGGATTTGAAAAATCATCTTTCATATCTAAAAAGAGGTCAACTACAGTGTTATACTCACTGACTACCAAATGACCCTTTTGTGGGGAGGGTCTTTTTACATTTCACAAGCTGAAAACTGCCAACCTTTTGTAATTACCAAACCTGTAATATTATTAGTAAGGTTCCTACTTAAAGAAGTCCTCAAATATAAGGAGATTTTTATAATTTTATCAATTAACAATTTTATCAATCAACAAGTTAGTTCTTTTACTCCTTAATTCACTGACATTCAGCTATTTACTGACAGCTGATAGAAAGCAAGCAAGCAAAGTTTCTTAGTCAATGTTCTAGCATTCTCTATGACACTAAAGGTAATAAGGCAGTACAGGAAACTGGCAAAAATAGCTAAGATTACTTAGATGATGGTACTGTTTGATAAGTTATATGAATGACCTAAATAGCAGGCAGACATTTATTTATTTATTTTTAATTTAATTTTTTTTATAGAGACGGGGTCTCGCTCTTGCTCAGGCTCGTCTTGAACTCCCAAGCTCAAACAAACCGCCTGCCTCAACCTCCCAGAGTGCTAAGATTATAGGTGTGAGCCACCGAGCCTGGCCTTAGACATTTGTTTTTATCACTTGTGGAAGATATAAAAATGTCATTAATCAGAATGATTATAATAATCTGATAGAATTGCAATAACTGAGAGTGAAGCTAAAGTTAGGAAGGTTAAGTACTTCATGAAGAGCTTATTTTCCTAAAGCAAATGTAAAATAACTTTATTAATGGAGAAGATGCATTCCAACATCATATGCAGTTTAAAACATCATTATTAGAGGTATAAAAGGAACAGGAGGGATGAAAGGACATTGACTCTGTAAGTCAATATAATTTACAGCTATTCAAGTCAGAAAGATCTGGATTTGAATCCCAGTTCTATCATGTAACTAATCTTGGATCTTTGGCAAGTTATTTAACCTTTCTAGGTCTCAGTTTCCTAACTGGTAAAATGAGGAAATAGGACTCATTTCATAAGGATGGGTGAGAATATAAAAATAAAGGGTATGTGAATTACTTTGTGTTTTGCCTATGAGGTTAAGTAACAACTCTTATTCTTTGCTTTCTCTCCTCTGTGAGATCCTTGCCTCCTCGGGAGAAAAAGGCTCCCCAAGATTTTACTTATGTATTTATTTTAGTTTTTCCACAGTCTAGTCTGATGCTTCCCTATCCCTAAGAGAGCACCAAGCTAGACAGCTGGCTCTGGTTGTGTACTGACGGCCTTTCCCTAATCAGCACAGCCAGTAAATGTCCTGAATTCCAGGTGAAGGCCAGGACTGCTCCCAAGCCAGTTCTGTGGGACTTTGGGGCAGGGAGAGGGGCGGAGACTGGTGACAGGAAAGTTCTGTGGTAACAAAGACTGTAACATTTTAATGTTAGAAACAAATGGTCTTCTTTGGGGAAGGGGACAAGAACAATCTTTCAAATAGAAAATGTACAAAGTACATTCAAGAAAAATTTCTTTTCACGAACCATTGTGAACAGCCCACATGATCCGGAAAGCTGGGCCACCAATCTCATCAAAAGGTTTCCGACGTGTTATCACTTCCCAAAGGATAATACCCCAGCTGAAGACGTCACATTTTTCACTGTAATTACTACCTAGAAAAAAAAAAAAGGTAGTATAATCTCAAAACTCTTTTTCTGTATGACTTAAAGAAACAACTGCTTTCATAAATTTTAAGAATGGCTATTTTGGATAAAAACAAGAGGTTATCACATGTGGAGCTAAGAAATTAATCTTTCTGAAGCACTTTAAGTCTTTTCAATAAATACATTTTTAAATAAATTAAGAATCAAGAATACACTAAAAATCTTCTTTGGAAAGTCAGTTATTTTCTACCTTTTACTCAAGAGGCACAGGCCTTGTCTTTTATGTATTTAGACTGATACTTTCTTTGGGGTAGAGCATAAACATTTATACATTCTTTTCTGTAATATTTTAATCTTAAATTTTCTTCCCATTCTCTGATAGGATAGCATGAGTCTGCTATCAAAGCAAAAGAACCTTCTAATTTAGTGCTGCATTTTTTTCTCCACATATGGTGAGATAAAATTCTTAATTTTCAAATTTAAACATAAGCTTTAAGTAATGACAATTATGGATAACAAATTTACAGTAACTAGCAAGATTAGATTATACAGCAAAATTTGTAGGACTATTAAGTTGTTGGGTGAATCAGTACAATAAACAGCCAAAAAAACCCCCTTCTAAGACAACAAAAAAACCCCAACACACCATTAAGAATGAACAGTTTTTATAGTGATAGCTTTACATGCTAAGTAGTACACTGTAACGTGGCATTACAATGTTACAATCTAATTTAGGATATAGGTGTAGCCAGCTGATGTTTTTCAGAAATGAAGATGTCTACATAGCCTAATAATCTCAGTTTTGTTGCTTTAGACAATGGTAACTATTAGTCTTTTGTATAAACAAATCTTTTTGTTCTCCATAATATGCCATTTTAACTTACCGAAAGATATATTTTTTTTGGAGAACAAAAAATTTTGGAGAACAAAAAAATTACGTAAGTATATAACTTTAAAACAATGCCAGTATATGTATTCTGTATATGACACAGAAGGCATTATTCAATTTTATGCAATATAACACTTCATTGTCCACTAATTTTTTAATTGCATTTTAGGGCAAAACGGCTCTACTCAAGTGACTAGTTGCATAGCATTTTCTTTTTCTCCGGGATGGCTAAAAACAAACAAAAAAGTAAAAAACTTTAAACTCATCAAAAATAAAAGAAATAAGCCCAAATCAGGGTCTGATTAATTCAATGTGTCTGAATGTTATGGGCATTCATACTTCCTAACATACAAATCATACACCTTCAATTTAACTTCTTGGATTTAAAAGATAATTTGATGTTTTTATACAGAAACGAAATATACAATTTATGGACTGATCTTTTAGGACTTCAGTGAGAAACAGACGTACAAAAGAAAGTAAAAAAGTAAACATATAAGTTTGCCCTATATTTGTAGTCTTTACTATCATATTTCTGTCTACTTACTTGCATTCTTTTTAAGGCATGCTCATTTAAATTTTAGGGCTGTCCATTTTTAGTTATTAGGAAACCAATACAAAAAAAGCACTGCTATTCCAGTATTTATGTTCTACAAAGTCTCCGTGAACACTGAATAATTGCTCCTAGGGGAAAATACAGGGCTATGTTCCTGCGTGCCTTTGGTCACAACATTTTTGTCAACTGATCAATACATAACCTTGTTTCATGTGTGCTTCTGCTTAAAAACATCGTATTTAATATATATTAATTTATTAATATTGAACTCATGGCCAACAGCACTGTTACTCATGCCTGAATGAAGATTATCTAATACATGTATTTTCTCTGTAAGACATATCACAGTCTTCTTGTACTTAGGCAGTACTATACAGCAAAATCACCAACAAAATTCGCAAAATGGGAAAAATATGGCTCTAAACAGATCATAAAAAGGACACTTGTTTATAGCATAAGAGCTGAAGTAAGAAGGTGGAGTGTTGCCTTGTTATATGACCTCAGTTAGGAACATGTGTTGGCTGACTCAAAATTTACTCTGGTCTATGGTCTACGTACATAATGTCTGAAAATAACGACAATAATAAATAATCTAAATGTATCACAAGTATTAATTTTGGGATTACAAATAAAGTTTAGAAAGTAGACAATTTTGCAATTACAGAATCTCTGAACAATGAGGAACAACTGTATATATGCTTGAATCTGCATAGAAGATGCCAGACAACTGAAACCTTGCCATAAAATTTAGGATATGAGGCTATATTTATTTAATTCCTCCTTAGACTTCAATATATAGCTTATAATTATGCACTATGCAGAAATAAAACCATGGCAATGGGGAAAATCTATAAACGCATATTGGATACACATAGGGTAAGGCAGATTATCAATCATATCATGCTTTTGCCATTTTACCTTCAAAAACTTCAGGTGCCATCCAAGCAGCACTCCCCTTGTTATTGGTCATGTGTGTCTGAATGTCACAGGCTGTACCAAAATCACAAATTTTTAGAACTGTCCCCCCTGCAACCAGCAGTAAGCTGTTAAAAAAATATATATGTCAAAAGTTACAAGGCCAATACTTGATTCTACAATACAAGAAGAGATATTTGTAGAAATTGAAAGAGTTAAGCAAAATGAATGCTATTCAACTTCTGTGAAATGTTATTTGGTCACTATACCAGCCTAATAGTTCAGAGGAATATCAGCAAAAATTAACTGACATAACTTAGCTCTCTTAGGGAGGCTGCTAGACTTACATTTTCATATCTCTATAATCTTTCCTGACCATACTTCTCTCTGTCCAAAACTTCTCTCTGGGGTTTAAAAAACTTCCAGTAAGTCGACATTATGGTGTCCTGAAATGGGATTTTAATCATCAATGTGTTATTTTAAAAATAATAACATTATGTAATTTAAGAAAATAAAGTTAAATAAACCAATATAGAGGAAAAACATGGTCCTTAATTTAAATGTCTTCATTTTGAAGATACTTCTAAAAATGTTCAATTTGCAAACCATTTTTGTGTTCAGAATATGTGTGTTTGGGGGGAGTACAAATCCATTACAGTTAAAGGAACCTGATGAAAGATTACAAAAAAAGATTCTGACTTTCCTAGATTCCAAATGACCTAACTACAATCATCAAGTAGCATACTACCTTACATAAAAGGTTTTGCTTTTGATGACAAACAGAAATAGAGGTGGGTACTATAATTTGCATAATCACACTGTGGCAATTAATATTCAACAGCAATACATGGGGATTCCTTTTAATTACAAATCTTATAAACTTTTTATATCTGGAGAGATTATTTATAAAATTTGTTCTCTTTTAGTCCAGTGTGATTAAGATAAGCCAGATAAACTACTATTCACATCTCCATACTGCCAAAAATACTTCCTTGATAATTCAAGAATGCTAAATGCAATTTAACTCTATATGCACTTTAACTAAAAAGATTTTCCCCTCATCTCAATGTTCTTGTTCAAACTTACACTTTTAATCCAAGAAAACTGTAAGAACTTTGTAACTGGTTTCCTTGTTTTATCCTGGTACATTTAAGATATCATAATAATTTTTCTGAATGACTTTTAGAATATATTAGTACTCATTTACTCATAAGACTTTAATAGTTCACCAACCTTGACCATGCCATTCAAGGCTCACTGAAATTTGCACTTAAATTATCTTTGTAGGCTTACTTTCACACAGTTAAGACTTAAAATACATTTTAATTTCTGCTGTACCTGTGAATGAACTTGCAAGATAAATAAAATAGGGGCACAAGCACAATCTGATACCATATAAAATGCCTTATTAGATTATCAGGTGCTTTCTTTACATGCTATTCTGAGGAACTCTTCCTGATCACAGCACAGAATCTACAGATTTTCCACTGACAGAAAGATATAGCAGGTATTCATGTATATTCAACTGTGTATAAAAGCATAGCCATGCTAAAGAACTTTCTTTTCCCCAGTACCTTCTGGAAAATCAATTCTAATTCTAAATTCCAATTTGTATACTAGGTGCACCAAAGATGATTTGCAAGATGGATCCAACCAGGAAGAGGCCCAGAGGAATGAATGACCTAGATGTTAATGGTATTTACTACCAAAAGGAGAATCCCTATCTACAATTGATTTTAGAAGGATATATCTGGTTTAATTAGATAGATTAAATAAACCTAAAATTTATGAGGTATGGTTAGATGGAGATTGAGGATAATAGTTTAACTTGTGTAATTAATGCAATATAAAAGATGTTAGAAAATGGAAATAGCTTCCTTTTGTAAGATATTTCTCCATATATTGTTCATTAACTAGCCACTTATTCCAAAACCAAAACACATCCTAATGTACAAGAAAAGGGACATTTTTTTTTTTTTTTTTTTTTGAGACAGAGTCTCGCTTTGTTGCCCAGGCTAGAGTGAGTGCCGTGGCGTCAGCCTAGCTCACAGCAACCTCAAACTCCTGGCTCAAGCAATCCTCCTGCCTCAGCCTCCCAAGTAGCTGGGACTACAGGCATTTGCCACCATGCCCGGCTAATTTTTTGTATATATATTAGTTGGCCAATTAATTTCTTTCTATTTATAGTAGAGACGGGGTCTCGCTCTTGCTCAGGCTGGTTTTTTGAATTCCTGACCTCGAGCAATCCGCCCGCCTCGGCCTCCCAGGAAAAGGGACATTTTAGGTGTTGCATCTGATGGTTTCAGGCTCCTCAAGGAAAAGAATGCTTTGTCTGTACCTGATGTGTGCCTATATTCTTTAAGCCATTAGTCAATTTATTGCTAGAGAAGAGCTATAATTCTCACTAATTTGCTTTAATAATTCATCTCTGTATTAATATGAGGGGGAAGGAGGATCAAATATCCATAATCAGAGAAAACAGACATTCTTTTCTTCACTAGTTAAGGCAGGTAGCTAAGATAATAGCCTTAGGAGTCAAGTTTAAAAAATGAAAATGTCATGAATCTAGAACTTAAACATTATTCTACCAGGGACTTGGGGAAACAGAACCAGTTTAAGTCTATAAGTAGAAATAAGGTACACTAGCAAGAACAGCCATTCTGAGAGTTGGAACATACGTAGAGTATACCAGATTAAACATGAGTGAAAAGTTACACCCGGAAGGAATGTCTTAAACCAGCATCAACAGAATAGAAAATTGAAGACTATACTGATTTCTAAGGGGAACCTCTCATCTCTCACGGGAAAGACTGATGTGGTGGGGTGGGGGTGGCGTGTGACAAGATATGTGGGGACTTTTTCACTTTGTCACAGGTACATAGGAAATTAGTGAAAGGAACAATACATTTTATATGTGTTTTCTTTAACTGAATATGTATACACAAAAACCCCAAAACGTTTGCCTTTTAAACTACTTATCTAAGGAATTTATAAGTTTTTCAAAGTCCCAAGGATTCTCATTATGAAGAAATTCAGAATATTTTCAATCTCCACCCAGATGCCAGAAATGCCCTTTTGCTTTCCTCTGAAAAGGCAAGTAATTACTCTGCAAATTTCTGTGGAATGTCTACTATGTGTGGACATTGTGTTAGCTGTTAGGGATACAGGAAGAAACAAGTCAGACTTGTCTCTGTTCTCCAGGAACTGTCTATGAGCAACATTATATATTGCAGGCACAAAATGAGATGGAGAGGCTAACAGATTCTACAAGCATGCTAATCAAAGGTAGGTGTTATTAAAAATAAAAATTCCACTAAAGACAACATCTGAAATACAAGCTTAGATAAATGACTAAACGATGATGAGTTAAAAATAAACACTGAGTTAGCCAAAAAGAAAAAGAGAAACTTTTATACAGCAATCAGGTTGAATTAGGGAGTGGGTGGGGGTGGTGAAAGAAAGTGAGAGAGTGAGAACAAGACTCAAGAGTGAGAAAGAGGAAGGGGGGAGGGGAGAGAGGTATCATTAGAACTTACTTTGGTGGTTTCAGGTCCCTGTGAATTAGAGCTTTGGGTTGCATGCTGTGAAGATAAGCCACTCCTTGAGAACACTGTAAACACCAACTCATTGCATGGGCAGCAGTGTAATAGGGCAATGGTTCAGCACCATGCAGCACTGCAAAAGAAAGGCACAAACTAAAAAGAACTTTATTGTATATAACAAAAGATACAACGTGAATGCAAGTACTATTAGAACATATGACTGGGTATTTTTCTATACATGGTCCATCAGTCCTGCTTTTAATTCTTTTCTAAATAAAAAAGATGGAAATAGCAAATAATTTTGAGTGGATAACTGCCACATAAGTATCTAACATTTAATAGTTTACTAAATGTTATTCATACATACAAGTAAAATTAATATACATCACCAAATTTTTCTAAGTGATATTAATAAAGTCTTTCACACAGTAATATAAATTATAAGCAGTCTTATGGCGCACATTATAAGGGAGATGCAGAGAAATAGTACACAAATAAGTAAAATAATGTGTATCAAGATGTTTACAACTATATTTTCTGTAACAATTAAAAACTAGAAGTTGTTCAACCAAAAAAAAAAAATCAAGGGTGTATTACTCATCAATCATGATGAATACATGGGCAGTAAATATAAGTAAAAGTTTATATAAAATGTTAATTAAAAAGCAAAATGCAACAATTTGTTTTCACTACCTGGTGCTACAAGAAACAATATATTTATGTTTATGGTTGGTATTTATAGGGTAAAAGAGCTTTGTTCTACAAAGGTAACTAAATGATACATGCAGGTTTTCTTCATTGTTACAATTAAAGTGTTCTGTGCCATAAGTTTTCACAATTTTATTTTTTGAAAAGAAAAAATAAAGCAGAGTGAAATGGAAGTATGGTTAAAGGGTTTTTAAATGATGAGGCTCAACGATAAGGGAGGGCAAAAACAAAAATTAAAAGTCTGAAGATATTTTAAAATCTATTTAAAAAAGCACATTTTATTTTACTTAATGTTTTTAACATAATGAAAAGTACTATCAATTTTAAAAGTTTATATAGACTTCCAAATTTCACATACTAATGTTATAGCATCTTTATTATCTATTCATTTTTAATCTTTAGCAGATTTCTTTTTTTCTCCCCTCCCCCCGCAGATTTCTTTTAATTACCTCCTTTTGAGACTTTGATGATAAATTGTGAAGAACATTAAATAACTTAAGAGTTTATATTAAAAACTTTCAAATTCTTTTAATCTACTAGGATAAAGACAGGTCTAATGACACTCACCATTATATAAAGAGCCTCCTTCAGCATATTCCATCACAAGACACACCTAAAGAAAACATATGCAAGAAGAATTAACCCCAGAGCTATGGCATCTTGGGGCCCTTGAGAAATAATTTAATTCAACCCCTTGATATTATAGATACATTACAAACCATTTTTTTTTTTTTTGGCCCCTGCTATGTGACTGGCATGAAAGAAGGAAAAACAGTATCTATTACCTAAGATCTTATCTTCTGGGAGCCCAGTAAGAGTGGAGATATATGTAAAAACACAATCATAAGATCTTTTGGGGACTTTCTTCAGTGCTAGTAAGTAGGTGTTGTCACAGGATATCAAAAGCCTCATAAGAAGATGAAGTTATAAAACAACTCTTATACTGTTTTGCTAAAAGACTAGAAACAAAATAAATGCATGAAGTACAACTGTTCTTTCAGAAATACATCTAAGATAGCAGATCAAGACAGTTTCATAAACGACACACTTGTATACATCTGCTGTGTCATTTCTCACAGACAGATGACAACAAAAAAGTGACAAACTTACTGGATTCAAGCAGGCTCCATACAACTTTACAATATTAGGATGGTTCACTCGAGATAACTGCCGAAGCTGTAACAAATTAAGGTTTCTTTTAAAAAGTGGTAACTTTTGAGTATTCATTTCACAGCATCATTAAAATTTTTTCATTGTACAAAACATTTAAACCACTCGACAATCGCTATTTACTATGTAGCAGGCACTGTGGTCATAGGCACTGGAAATACCAACTGCCTGCCAGGAATGGCACAGAATGCCAGCTCACAGGACTTAGTTGGGGAGACAGGTAAAGAAACAATTAAAGCAATGTCAAAGTGCTATAACAGCAGTTATGAACAAGGCATGATGAGAACATGGAATAAGAAGAAATTAACACTGCTGAGAAATTTTAGGATATCATCCTAGAGATGGTACTGAGTGAAGTTATCCAAGCCAGTAGAAGCCATGTTATCACTGCTATCATCAGCTCTATAGGTATAACTGAATAGTCTAGCTACTCTGCATGTATCCCTAGTGGGCATCCTGCTAGGTAGGTATTATCATTTCCATTTTAAAGATGAGATCTTAGAGTTAAGGCTCAGAGAGGATTATTAAATAACCCTATAGCTAGGAAGTGGCACAGGTGGGCTTCAACTTTAATCTTCCTTACTGAAAATGTGCACTCTTTATGTACACTTGCCTCTATTCCATTTCCCATCTCTTGAATTAATTCTCTCCACTCCATTCCCACTGGCATTGCCTTAGTGATTCTAACCTGAACCACTGCAGTAATTACTAGAACTTTCTCATAGCTGGTCTCCCTACTTCGAGTTTTAATCTTCCCTGATCCAGTGATTCACACTGAGGTCAGTGAGGGGTTTGGCTGCACTAATTTCTCTTGTTCTAGATCTCAAACTTCTATTAATGTATCCCCTCCCCCCACCAAATGACTTCTTGCTTTTTCTTCTCTCTCTTTTCTTGTCTGCCCTTTCCCCTCTCTTCTTCCTCTCCTCTATTACTTACATTATGCTGCTGGCTCATATTAAGTCCATGAAGGTCTCTAAATCTTTATCTTATATACCACTAGAAAGCTTTATCTCTCTACAGTCAATATCTGTGGATTGTCAGTCCTAACAGAAATCACTATTTATTATATTTATTTATTATATACTGCAAAATGGGAAAACAGAACCCATTTTCTGGAAGTTGGAAAGCAAATGGCTAGCAATAAGTAAGTGACGTAACGGACCTAAAAGAGCTGCATCATAAACCTGCAATGAGAAAAACTGAGAAGCAACCAGATATATTTCACAAAACCTCTAAAAAGTTAGGGAGTGACAATAGAACCAGGTACCTATGCAAGTGAGCTAATAAATGAAATGGGATGGGAGATTGGTTTAAAGTTAGACTCAAAGATTCCTTCCCTAACTTCAAACAGCTTAATGACTATCTTATCATCCCAGCAGATGACTGACTAGAGGTTGATTCTTTAGGGAAGGTGAACAAATAGCATCTGGATTGTGGGACAAACACAAAGGAGGAATAAGATCAAAGTAGTTGTCTCTGGGATGGAGAAAATTAGATGGAAAGAAGTATAGGGGATTGAAGTTTTTTTATTAAGAATTTTTGGAGAACCATTTGACTCTTTAAATTCCGTGCACATACAATCTTGATTTTAAAAAAAAATTTCCCCAAGCTATATGACTCGTGATTCCTAGTATTTAACACATATGCTGTTTCACCCAGCTTTGTGAAACTGCCAATACATCAGTATATGATCAATGACCTTATTTAAATCATAAATAAAAATCATGACTAAGGCAAGGCTGAGGCCAAACTCCTAGAGCATTCTACTACAGATCATATTTCTTCATAATGACATCAAATCATTCATCAACATTTCTCAACTCATTTGGCCAATTACAAATCACTTCATCATATCAATTAAATCTTCATTTCTCCATGTTATACATTAAAAAATATCCTGAAGTATATTTTGAAATTATGATTAAATGGAAACAGATATGAATTCAGAAGGTTAATAGGTAGAGGCCATTTATCCATTGGCCAATGAGGTTAAGGTGATGAAAACACTGATTTAATTAAATACTGTGATCTAATATATAAACTAATATAAAGTTAATAAACTAAGTAATAAATCTGATAATATGGTAATGCCATGATTATTGAATTTTCCTTCATCAATTTACAATAGAATAGTTATAAATTTTCATGCTAAATGAGAAAATCAAATTTGAAATTACTTTTAAAATAACTTCATTTGAGGTTTTAAAAACATTCAGTTAAGAATGGGTAAAATTTCCTTTCTTAATTTTAGATAATGGGAAAGAATACCATTTCTTTTCTATTTCAAAATTAAAATACTATGCCTTGAAATAGATCTGAATTTCACTAATAAGAGATGAATTCATTTATCTAGTTAAGTCTCTTTTCCCCCGATTTTTAAGCAGAAATAAGAGCGTGAATTAAAAAGTATTCCTATGGCTCCATATGGCATTATCCTCGGTTCAACCAAATTGCTGATGTACATGTATACAAAGAAATGAGAAACAATCTTTTTCATATTAAATTCACAGAGTATCTTAAGTGAAAAACTAGACAACAGAAATGTCATCTCAACTTACCTCTACAATAAAAGCTTTCCTCTCAGATTCACTTTCTATTTGTTTAATAGCAACATCTTTTGCTCTCCATTTAGCTTTGCAAACTACTCCAAAGGCCCCTCTTCCAACAACCTGAATTAAAAAAAAAAAAACCCACAACAATCAGAATCAAATGGATCCCACCTAATATATAACAGATTTTAGAAATCATCAATATCTGGACTTGCCACCAAGAAAGTACGAATTGTCATTAAAGTGAGGAGATAATGAAATGCACACTTGTCTCTATCTTTGAAAGTTTATGGTCTAGACACCTCTCCCTTCCTCAAGTAAAACCAAAAACAGCAAAAAACAAACAAAAACCATGGAACATAAACAATGTAACACAATTTGTTAAATGCAGAAAAAATTTAAAACAAGCAAGATGAATGAGAAAACAGAAGATGGTTTGGAAAAATAAAACTGAACATAGGATAAACATGAATATTTTAAGCTATCATATTTAAGAAGTTAAAAAATAGCTTTTAAATAATTCAAAAGGGATAGGGGAGAAAGGATACAAATATAAATATTAAAAGATTGGCTATGATGAAGGGTAAACAAAATGTATTACCTACTCAATAAAAACAAAATAAAAACAAACAATAGTTTTTGATACCTGTTAGAACAAAATTATTAGATTTTATCATTGCAGAGGACTTTAGTTAAGTGCCATCTACTTTAATCTCTCAACTTCCAATGTGTCTAAGCATTCTATATCAAGGTCTTTTTCTTAAGTGAAAAATCTACCTTCCTATACCACATTTATATGTACTTTCTATATAGTAGGCATTGAAATAATGCTTTACATACATTACCTAATTTATATAGCCCTAGGAGGCAGGTACTAATGCCATCCCCATTTTCAAGATGAAGCACTTAGCTTTCAGTAAGTAAACTAATTTGCCCAAAGCTATATAGCTAGCTAGTGGTAAAGTGCAATTTGATGACAGGTAATCTAAAATCAGAATGCTAATGATCCTAATTTGTAACATATATAAATCCCTTCCTATATCAGAGAGTAGAAGTTATATCTTCCCTTGGAGGAATCTCCATTTTAGACAAACTTACATGAACAAATTCCTGGCACAAAACTCTTCTAATAACAAAGCTGACTATTGCTAAGCCAATCAAATTATTTATTATCTATGTTGGGACACTCTATAGAGGAAAAAGGAGGCACTAATAATAACTGTTATCAGGATAGTAGTTGTAAACTGGGATGTATGGCCCCTCCAGCCATAGCTCAAACTCTATTCTACAAATCACATAAAGTAATATGAACATTTCTCATATTGCTCAATGTATAAAGCCACACAAATGGTTAACATTTTTTGAATGTTTACCACATGCCAGATACCATTCTATGTGCTTTTCATGCACTAACACATTTAATCCTCCCCCATTTTAAAGGTGGGCAAATGGAGTCACATTTCCAAGATCACAGAAAGTATTCAGAGAAGCCAGCATTTGAAGCGTAGAGCATGTAATGACCAATATATTCTATATTCAGCTTCTGTCATTGGCTTAAAGGAAACGGTGCTGCCTCTAGGCAAAATTGCAAAGTAGGTCAATATCTCTGGTAGCTAGTCTTTTCTTTGGTAACTTTTTCTTTTACCCTTCCAGAAGTTTAAGTTCTCGCTCTCCTTCACAGCAAGGAACCAACATCAGTCATTTGTACTTGCCATCCAGTTACTTTACCATGAACGGGTATTATTAGCTATCAGGTGCCATTAGAATAATGGAAAGAGCACATCGAGGCTCTGGAACCCTAAAGATTTGAGTTTGAATGTAGGGCTCTGTCTACCTATTAGCTCTTAATACTGGACAAGCCTAAGTTGCTGTTTTCTCAACAGTAAAATGGAGGTCCTTACATTTCTCTTAATATCAATAGGGTTCACAAGTTAAAACCAGGTATTTCCTTAAATACTAAAAAAGAACAATAAATACTTGGAGTTAGGTATGAATCAGTGTAAGGAGCTGTAATACTTCTCTCACAACTAAGATGAACAGCAAACAAATCCTAAAAGAAATTTCAACTTTATGGCAACTTTAGACTAAGAAGATATACAATGGGGACCAGCCTATCTATTGATATTACTATTAACTATGAAACAATTATTATAAAGTCATTTAATATAGTCTTCAACCATGTATTTATAAATGTATTAAAGAAACTGGGACTCAATAGGACTCCCCTTGTTTCATTTTTCTATTAAGAATGTCCACACAAGGATTCTAATTACCTACATTTGTGGATCATGCCTTGTCACAAAAATTCATATGACTATTTGTAATCCACAAGTGCCACCTAGTGATGAGATGATAGCTGACTCTGAGCTTTTAATTTAAAAAATGTGGCCAAATGAGGGCATGATAAATTTTCTCTGTTTTGCTTGAGAAAGCAATTTTTCAGAACACTCTAAAATACAAAATAGGCACATTCCTGTAAGATGAGACCCCATGGCTTCAAGAAACCTCTACTCTCATTATGGCCATAAAATATTTCACATGTATGATAAAACAACAGAATCTAAAATGATAATAAAGAAAGGCTAAGATGTCCAAAGTTGTATGCATAAACCGAAATATATGATAGAATAACTGTTGTGAATTCAAAGGAAATTATAAACACAGAATCAATGCTTAACGAATTAAATTTCTGTGTATCAGAAAATGACTTCCAATTCTTTTCAAATGGCATAAATCTAAAGATATTAGGGGTGAGAAGAAAAAAAATGTATAAAGAATGGGCCCCTGTCTTCATGGGATAAATGTGAAGTAGAGAAGAAATTCAAAACTAAATAATATTTTTTAATTTTTTAAACACTTACTAGCTGAAGCCCCAAAGGTGAGAGTCCATGATGGAGACTAAAGAACTTCCCACTACCTCTTTCCAGAATAGGCTTAGGAATTCAAAGGCAAAAAGGACTTATACCCTCCACTTCTCACTTAGATCCCTGGCAGCAGGGAGCCTCAAGGAATGTGCTTTGCAAGCATGAGAAGCTACAAAGGAGTAAGAAGAGTGGCAAGGGAGATGGACAGAGGGAGGCCCTACCTAAGGCTCCCTTAACCCTAGCAGAACATGGAAGTGATACAGAAAAACTCCGGCCAAGAGGAAAGCAAGGTAAATGAAAATTAAAGAGCCTCTGACTGCAGGAAGGAAGCTAATGCAGGGCAGAGTGCTGGGACCTGTATCAGAGGCTGTGGGATGGCAGCCAGCTAAAATACAGGCAGCTTAATTAAGAATACAGCTGACTTTCAGAGGATCGATGAAAGTCAAGGGAAAGGCCTTGTCAGCAAGCAGGAGAAATGAGTAAGGTTTTCTGCCTTCAAAGGGTACAAGTGAGGCTTTATGCTAAAAGAATGATGAACTTCATTTGTTTACTCCTTAAACCAATATTTCTTGAGTGCCTACTACATCCAGCTACTGTTTGGGATATCAGAAATACAGAAGTAAATAAAACAAAGGCTCTGCTTTACATGGAATGCACTTTCTAGTGTGTGTGGAGGGAAGTGGGAAGGAGAAAAGACAATTGATACACAAAAAGATGAATAAGAAAAATATCAGAATGTAAAAAAAATAACACATAGAGAACAAAAAAGTAGGATGCTACAAAAAAGAGACTAGTGGCAACTCCTACTAGGTAGCATAGAAAGACCATCTGAGCAGGTCACTAACTTGATATTTGGATAGTACGATCCAAATATCAGGGAGAAGAAACAACTAATATAAAGGCCCTAAGGGGAAAAAAAAGTTCATTCTCTTATTCAACAATATTTGAACCCCATCTATGGGCTAGGTGCTAATCTTGGCAATGACAGCACTGAATAAACCAAATCCAAATATTTGTTCTCGCTGTTTATATTCTCATGGAAAGAGACAAAGAGGAAGTGAGATATGTAAGAAAAATATATAATATTTTTAAAAATAAGTGTGCTAAGGAGTAAATTGTGTGTGTATATACATGTGTATACACTCCCGACTACACTGTCTACCAGTTTTAGACAGTGTAGTCATGCGAAGTCTCATAGAGAAAAGTGACATTTTAGTGATGATCTAGAAGAAAACTTGGAGTGTTTGGTGTGGTTGGTGCATAGTAGAAGAGTGATGTAAGATGAGGCTGGAGGGACAGGCAGAGGCTGGATCCTGAAAGGCTCTATGTACCATGAAAAAGACTTTGGATTTCGGTCTAAGTGCAATGGGAAACAATTGGAGAAATTTAAGGAAGGAAAGATATATGTGACTTACATTAAAAAAAATCAGTCTAGCTCTCATTTAAAGAATGGATTATAGGGAAGCTGGAATATATAGAGAGACCTATTAGGAGGCTATTACAGCAGCCCAAGCAAGTGGTAATAGCTGTGAGAACAAGGTTGATGGGAATAGTACAGAAAACTGGGCAGATCTGGGACACGATTTAGAGGTAGAGTCAATATGGCTTGCTGATTGCATGCAGGTGGGTCACATGGGGAGGAAAAGAGATGAATCAAGGACAATGTCTGGATTGGGCAACAATTTATTGAAGTATAAGAATGAAGCAAGCAGATTTTTAAAAATAACTCAAGAGATTTGTTTCAGTTATATGAAGTTTAAGATGCCCACTAGATATCCAAGTGGGACCTAAGGAAAGTCAGGCAAAGAGGTACAAACTTGGGAGTCATCAGTATATAGTTGGTATTTCTAGTCAATCAATTGGATGACATCACAAAAAATAATAAGTAGATACCAAGGTCTGAGAACTCAGCTTTGAAGCATTTCAACATTTAAAACACAACACAGGAGAAAGAGCTATCAAAGACTAAGAAGAAATAGTTAATATGGTAGGAGGCAAACCAGGAGTGTCACAGAAGCCAAGAGAAAGAAGCATTTGAAGAAGAAAACAGAGGGAAGAACAGCAAAAGCATTTAAGCTTGTGGCTCTCAAAGCGTGGTCTCTGGTTCAGAAGCGTGGTCTCTGGTATTACCTGGAAATTTGTAAGAATTGTAAATTCTTAGGAGGGTAAGACGCAAGCAATCTGTGTTTTACCAAGCCTTACAGGTAATCCTGATGTTTCAAAACCACTGCATTAGGCTAATACATTAACAGGTAG